GATCCTAGAAATCAAGCTTTTCAGACAGCTTGTTTCTGTCTCCAGTTCAGTTTCTTATCATGAATCAGCAGATTTCTTGTAGAGATTCTCTGACTTACTGATTTCTAGTGTCAGTTTCTCTGTAAGATAGATAACATGTTCATCTGATGTTCTTGCATGTCTGTCAGCTTATAATCAGATCACTATAATGAAGTGTCTACTGAATTGCAAGCTCTCAGTCTATGTTTTAATATAAAATCATATGCTGCAAGAATCTCTGCTCATCTAGTCTGTCTGCTATTTAGCATTTTGATCTGAAAGAAGTATTGAAGATTGTTATAATCAATTTGAACACAGAATGGCTGTCTACTATCTTTCAGATAGTAATGTCAATGCTTAAAGTATTTCATAATTACTAAAAGCTCTTGATCATGAACTTTATATTGTTGCTCAGTCTCATTCATCTTGCAGAAATAAAAAATTATAGAGTATTAATTATATTATTATCTCTGTTCTTGTTTGTCACTAGACTGAAGCAATATTGCTGCAATTGCATAATCTGAGACATCAGTAATCATCAAGATATTTTTATCTTCATCAAAATGAGTTAATAATAAAGAAGTATCAAAAGCATCTTTAAGATCTCTGAAAGCTTGTCATACTCTCATCATTAACTCAAAGAGTTTATCTTATTTCTTTAATAATTCAGTTAATGGAGCAGTAATACCAGCATAATTAAATATGAAATGTCTAAAGAAGCCAGTAAATCTCAAAAATATTTGAATATTATATATAAATTTCAGTTCTGATCAGTTAAACACTATTTTCAAGCAGCTTTCATCCAGACAAATTTCATCATATTCAATAATATAACTGAGAAATTTCACCTCTTTTTTATAAAATTTGCATTTCAATAACTTAGTGTATAGTTTGTGACTATATAGCTGCTGTAGAACTTCAGTAATGTGTTGAATATATTCTTATTCAGTTTGAGAGAAAATAAGTATGTTATTAATATATACAATAACATGATTATCTAAAAGATTATTTATAATATTATTAATATATATCTGAAAGATCACCAGTGCATTGCAGAGATCAAACAGCAAGACTGTATATTTAAAATGATCATATCAAGTACAAAAAGCTATCTTTCATTCATCACTGTGATGTATCTGTATATGTTGATATGCATCACAGAGATTCAGCTTCATTAGTCATTGTGTACCACTTAATCTATCAAGTAATTTATCAATTTGAGATAGAAGATAGCAATTTTTAATAGTTACTGTATTTAATCTTTTATAATCAATGCAAAGTTGCAGCAATCCATCAGCTTTCTTGATGAAGAGTATAGATGTTCTCACAGAACTAGTAGAAGATCAAATTCATTCTTGTTGTTATTTATCTTCAATATATTTTCATAAGATGTTCAATTTTTTTATTGACATAGTATAAATCTTTTTTCAAGATGACATTTGATTTTATTATAAATTAATTAAATATTTCATGTGACTATCTGACAGCTTACTAGCTGCTTTCATCAAGAAGACTTCTGTGTATTATTAATAATATTCAGAAAGATTAAGCATGGTATTTTTAGATTTTCACTCAGTTAAAAGTATGTAAACAACTTCATGTCAAGAAGTCTTTAAAAAACAGTGTGAGTTTTCAATTCAGAGTTTGACTGATTTCTCACTGTAATATCATCAGAATTCAGCAGATCAATCAATAATGAAGTTTGTCTCCACTAATCAAGATAGATCTAGTAATATATCATATATTAAAAAATTCATGACTTTAAATATTTAATTAATTATTTTTTTCATTTCTTTCAAATTCTTGAGCTTGCAGATAAGAGCAATCTTCTCATAACAGACAGTATTTAATTCATCAGCTAATTTCAATTTTTGCAGTAAATTGAGTGGTTTTCAGCCACTTTGTAGCAGCTTTCTATATGTGACACACTCAACAAAATCTCCTGAATCAATAAGAACACAGTTCAATATGAGATATTTTTCTGATTTTATAATAGCAACAATTGATTTACATTCTGAACAGTGTCTGACTAGTCATTCACTGCTATATTCTTGTAAGCTCTCTACTGATATAGACTCAGTCTCTGATTCTATGAATTCTTCTTGCAATTCTTCCATTTCTTGAACTTCTTTCAGAATATAATTGACACTAGATGAAGAATTGATCTTTTCATGAAAGAATTACTGCTTCTTAACCATTTGATCACTGGTCTTTCATTTTGAACAGATATTCATCATATAATCTTGCTGATTACAATTGAAGTATCATTCTTCTTGTTTTTGTTGTTCTTTTTACTCAGAACAAGTATAGAAGTGGATAAATTACTGCTTCTTAGCCAATTGTTTGCAGAGATGTTCATACCGATCAATTTTCTTTTCTTATTTCTGTCATGATACTCTCCTCTTTCCACACCTTGCCCACAATTGCTGATGTTGACATTCCATAGAGATCATCTCAAAATCCTGCCAACATTTTATAAATTTCTGTTTGAAATCAGAAATGAATTATTCTGCTTGAAAGTATAGAGCTGTCATTCTTCTTACTGCTGTACACCCACAATTCTCTGAAGCTTCAAGTCAGTTCAACAATTTCATTTTAAGATTATTGAAGATGAATATGTTTCAATCAATATGTTTTCTTTTCAAATTTCACAAGACTTGAAGATTATCTCACAATCTAGCTGCTACATATTTGATTTTTTTCTTCTCAGTAGTATAGATTCTGCTCTTTATCTTAAGATAATTCTCACAAGTCTGAATAAATTTTCAATATTTCTTTCAATTCTATCTCTTATATAAGTCTGGCTTCAGAAATTATTTATCTTCTTGTTTATAGACAACTTGCAGCAAGATAGCTGCTGCCTGTTTCTACTGTATTGACATTTATTAAAAAAGAGCATTAAACTGATTCAAGATTATTATATACATGATTTCTGTTACAGAAGAATTTCTATCTTCTATATCTCTGCAATTTGATTGTGAGATAGCTGAAGAGAATTCTGAGAGTCTAATTATAGATTTTCATCAGTTCTGAGAAATATTCTGTTCATTCTCTTCCATAGCAGATTCAAAAGTTTGTGGTGAACTCATTAAGATCTTGCAGAGAAGATGTTCAGATGATATACTCTCTTTAATTTCTTGAAGAAGTGATTTAAAACTGTAATAACTAGCTTGACTTCAGTCAGAAATTAGATGTCTCTTCAATATTAAAGTGAAACTATGAGAGTACTGGTAACTAGTGGCTAGCTAGAGATCAGGTAGAGATTATTACTATTGAATTAAGTAATATCAACATATAATCAGAACATATATAAGAATATATAGATTATAGAATAGACTCTAGTAGTAAATAGATAGTAAACAAATCACTTGCTTTCTTTCAAGTGGGCAAGGCAGCCCCCTGCTTATATCTTTAGAGTGGCAACATCTCACCACAATGCTGTCATAGATATTCTCTGCTGGATGGTGGCTAAATAGCTACTCCTCACTGGTGGTGTTCTTACATACACACTCATCAGTTGAAAGAACTGAAGAGAACAAACTTCCCTCTGAAGATTTAAAGTTCTAGAATCAAAATTGAAGAGTTGAAATTGGACAGTTGAATCATGGAGGCTGGAACATTGAGCATTATGGATGAAATTGTGTTATGGAAGATTTGAGATCCAATCTCATTAATAATGAGTTAGTTATGTACAATAGATATCTCAGATTGAATCAACATTCTTTTTCTTTTTAACAAATCTTCTGAATTAATGTTCAAAATTCAAGAGCCATCTCTTATTGAACTACATTGAGATTTTGGCTATGTTGAACCTCAAGAAATCATGGATCTACAGTGGTTCAAAGGTTTCCTAATTAGATTTGGCGGATCTACTGTTGCAGATTGGGATACTGTTGATCCACAATTGATCAGGGGTTTCCTGAAGCTACAATTTTCCCGTATGGTCAGGGGAATTCCCGTATCAATATTAATCCGAACCGAGAGCGGAATTGACCTCACCCTGTGGCTTATTCTTCTTATCCTTCCAAAGCCATAACGAAGCTTACAGAGACCATCATCCTCACACCCCAATCTCAATGGTCACTCCGAATGCCCCGGCATTTAGCTCCCAATCGCTCAGGGGTGCACCGGCTAGCGTGTATGCTGTACCCCAAACGTTTCACAAAATCAAGCCTGATACGTGTTCCCAGGTCTCTCACTCTATCATGCTCTTCTCGCCCTCGGCAATCGGGCCTTTCGCGGTAGTGAGAAAGCGGATGAGATCCGTAATCTTGTGAGAAAAAGGTTTCGCAAAGACAGGAAATTGCAAAGTATAGGCCAAATCGCGAACGCTTTGAAAGCAGGGTATGAAGTATGTTAACTAGTTGCGGTCTCCCCCCAAGCAGCGGGCTAACAGCAACTGCTGCTCTAGGCCCTCGATTTATTCCACGGATGTGCCAGGAGAGATATAGAAAGTATACAACGAGTCGATTCTTTGCTTGTCGCAACCCGAGCTCTTCGGCACCAGGTTATCGAGGAACACCGCGCCCAATCTGCCCAACCACCACTATGCCTTCGTAAAAGGCCTCCTCCAAAGATACGGCGCGACAGGACACCGGAAGCTCTCCGTCCGCACCCTGATAGAAAGCCGATCCTTTCTCGACCGAGACCCGTCGTCAGCGGTCGCCGTCATGTCCCTGTCCTCGTTAATGCGCGCGGCATCCCTTTTCTTCGGATTAGAAAACCGCAGCCACCTAGTCTGAGTGTCACGATCAAAGGCTTACTACATAAACGGTGGAAAAGGATAGAACGACGCGAACGCCTGCAATTTGAGCTTGGAAGGGCGAAGGATGAAGACCTCTGGGACGACATAACAGGTGAGAAAGATGATGTGCCTTGGACGGCCTGTGTGAGGGACTGCCTGGATGAAGTTAATGCACAACTATTGCACAAGGATCTCGAGAATAGAGCCATGGCACAAAAGATGTGGGGTGTGGTATTGAAGGAAAGGCAGCTAGCAAAGAAAGAGGCCCTCGAGAGAAGAAAGCAGAAACTAGCTGAACAGGCAATGAAAAGTGATTGATCGAAATATATTCCGTGGAACCGCCCAGGAAAGAATATTAGGCACTCTGACCGGCATCCCTGACCGATGCTTGCCATCAGATCGCCGAGCTACGTTCCCACTCATATGTATTTACAGTACATGCAAAATCCTGATCTTGGGTTATCTGACGGGCAACATTACACTCGTAAGTATTTGGGAATCCTGACATAATTGCTCTATTTTCCACCTCTAAAAGGAGAATACAGAAATGCTCTCAGTGCGTCTCAACAGCCCACATATTCCATAACACGCACCCTTTCTCTGAGGACTCCAAAAATGATCCCAAATCTAACTTCTTTGGGTCCTTGCCAACGCACATTCCCTTCGGATCGATGCCAATAACCTTATTAAGCATATCCTTACATCTATCATTTTTCGTCAGCTCGGTCCCAGAACCAATGACAGATACGGAAACAGAGCGAAAGAATTAACCTTTGTCCTTTAATTTCATACTTCTTCTTCGGCCCGCATTTGATTTCCTTTTGCTCATGATAGGATGCCTCCATCCTGAGAACAAGGTCCCCGACTTCCCCCTTCTTCGTGACTCTCTTGCCATCTTTGGTATAAAAATATCCACAGGAGGCATATCCCTTCTCTTTGCAAGTGTCTTGTATAAAGCCCTTGTTAGGTTTGATATCTGGAGAGATGGTGTACGTTTGTCCATCCCCTTCACGGTTGCAAAATGCGTTGATAGCATCCTTGACAATATCGAGGCTGACAATGGCATGTGTTCCCTGGGTGATAAGCCCGCCATCCTTGTTATGGGGATAGCAAAAGAAAACGTCGTACCCAGTGGGATGGAATGTAAAGGAACCACAATTATCAGTATCGGTGACGGTACCGCCGTGCTTATAAACGCGGGTATGTGTGTCACAATCGTTGACAGTACGTTGCAGGTATTTCCTGCAATAATCTTTCTTGATTTTATACTCTCCGGAGCCCTTACATTTATCCGAGTACGTGACAGAAAACGAAGTTTCTTTGATCCACGTTTTCTCGTCCTTTTGCTTGATGACTTTTCCGTCCTGTGCTTTGCAGAAATTTTCAATGGAATCGAGAGCGGCATCGCTATATTGGTAGTTGAAGAAAACGCCACGCGACTCAGATTTCTTGCAGCTCAGTTCAGTTCTAGGTTCACCTTCGATCATGAATCTATATGTTCCACAGCCTTGCTCCAGACTGCCACCACCAAAGACGGCGTGTGAATTGTATTGACCTGGGATGAATGTCAGAATCAACACCGCCGTCAACACTTAGACATCTTCAGACTTACACCTCTTGATCATGCTGGCGTATGAAGCAGCACAATTCTTCGGACAAGCATCGTTCTTCCTTCCGAACTTGAAGTTGAATTTGACTTGAATCTCCTTCAGCTTGTCGGTGAACGTGCCCTTCTTGGGAAGGTCATCATAGCCAAGTGTGCTGCTTCTATCTTTTGAAAGACCACCCTTGCAAAATACCTTGGCTAGCTCGTTAACATAGTCAGGATTAGTACCACGAAGGAGCTCGTTATTCTTCCCTGCTTTGGTGCACTCCGGCGACTTGGAAGTGACAGTTTGTGAAGGGATTTTACCTGTCCACTTGGGCGGATCCGGGACTGATGTAAAGTCATGCTTTGCATTTACTTTGGTGAACGGACAGGCGGCCGGCTTCATTGTCGTCGTTGTACCTTTGGGCGGATCTTTCGTTTTTGAGGGTTTCGGCTGTTGCGACGTGGAATAAGGCGGCGGAGTCGTCGGTGCTGGAGGTCCTTCTGGGATAGGCCTGAAAACCCAAGCCGCAAGTGCACCATTGGCAACTATGCCAGCACCAGCGGCAATGGCGATGGCAGCTGTTTCTTTGGAGTTTTTGGTTGTCGTGATGGTCGTGGCTTTGGTTACTGGCGGGGTGATGCCTGCCACGCTCACGGAGGTCGGGGTGAAAACCACTGCAAAGCGTCAGTTGAAGTAAATCACCCATCGCACAATTCTAAAGACCTGTAATAGCGCCCCCCTTGCGGGAGGCCACAACTGTGACGGGTCCCGGTCCTTTTGTTGCTTCGGTGGCGGGCTTCGCAGCGACTTCGAGGCCATTACAAAGGAGGAAGTATGTCGCAAGGCATTTCATGGAAAGCCATTTTTCAGAAGTTAAACGCATGGTTACTTTGAACAATTCAAGAAGACATGTCAAGGATGGATACAGCCGGAAGCAGAATAAAGGCCGCGTTTTTGACGGACAATATCTCAGGGAGACAACATTTTATATATGAACGAGGATATTGAATGGTTAAAAATAGCAAACTCCGTCTCGTCTCGTGCAATCGCTAAGCTGCGACTGTTCTTCATCCTGCAAAGGAACTGGAGTCTCAGGCGATATTGCGGTCTTTCCGCTATTGCAAACGAATCTATCAAAGTTGCTGCTCCTCTACGGGGTTTCTTCGAGAAGCATCATCCTTCCACCGGGCTGCGCCATGGCGGGATGATTATTCCTCACCCAGAAATAGAGCAATACTCCAAGAGGAAATCCTTCTTGATATCCCAAATTCCTATGTGAGGCTCAGAGGGGAAGTGAAGGTGTATGCCCCGTATGTAATTATCCTAGTCAGAACGCTTGCATCTTGTAAAATATGTCGAATGATAGTCAGTTCAATACACAATAAAGCTGCTGGATTGATATGAAACGGACGATCGTCAAAAAAGCTGCATGCCACCCGTATATCAGGATATTGCTCCGGCGACAACCCGACAATATATTTTTTTATATAAAACCGTAGGGCTGATCAAGCCCCAAACATGTAGGATTATGCAGGACATGTTGATTATTATTACTTGTATAGTTCCGGGCATGGCCTAGTCCTGTCGACAGCTGATTTTGTCATAAAAGGAACAGAATGCTTGAAGAGATGATCAAGGCACTGTATCCGTACGGAGTACATAGTTAACTCTATTCTATTGTGATTAAAGTGACCAACAGCTATTTTTGCCAAAATATTTCGAGATGCCACTTTTGAAAACAATAGGGGCCGAATCACCCCTTTCCATCATAGTGCATGGCTCCCTGGGGAACAAACACCCATATGGAGATTTCAGCACCGGTTGAGGGATTGTACTAGACGGTAAATTTCTCAATCGACTTGCTCTTCAGGAAGCTGCCTATAGTTATTAGGTGCTATATATTTTCTCATAAATAATGCAATCAAGCTATTCCCTGAGGGGAATTAATGAATGTAAGGGAATATTCATCAAACGGAAACTCATTGGGGTCCAAAGGACAATGCTGAGGAACTTTATCTTCCCTCCAGCTGAAAAGGGGTTTGTATGTATCTATAGATTTACTGTACAGAACCTGTTCGGCTGCGGCCCCTGGCTCTTCCTGCAAGAGCGACATATTGATCCTGTCGAAGGCGGAGCACAACGCGCTGCATACCCATTTTCATCCTGCGTAAAAATAAAAAGGACTGGGCTAAAAATAAGATATCCAGCCAGAAACGGTTGCAAGATAGATGTATAAAGCAAAGCCGCCTGTCGAGAGGCCCCCTTGGATATTGTATTCAGGCCATCTTGTTTTAAGGAACAGATGTAATACCAGTAACCACTTTCTGAGCTTGCACGAGTACTAGATAAGAATGAAAGGTTTTATTTCCCTACCTTTATTTGCCTCCTTTTGCGCAGCCGTTGTCATCCATCCAGCCGACACACGCTCGCTTTCTCATCTGGAAAAGAGAGAAGGCAACCAGGAAGTAAAACAGCTAGATGATGAGCCAGATTACGAAGACCCGGTCACCAAAGCGAAAACACCGAAAACGCGAGTGCTCATTGTCAACCAGCCAAAAGAGGCGACTGAACGGTGGTTCGACTGGGACGAATCATGCACCGACCAGGAAGATCGACGAAAGATCACTGCTGCGTTTCAGGACTCCCTCGACTTCATAAAAAGCGCGTCCGGATTCCTCGAGGAACTGACAAAAGGCCTTCCACAGAAGCCTGGAAAGAACGCTAATAAGGAAAATATTGCTTTCATCTCAGAGAAGGACCCAGCTTTCACCCAAATGTTTTATGCACAAGACAATCGAATCGGGTATGTCAAAGAGTCGTTTGATATTTTGCACAAAAAGATGCAACAATTTGAGGGTCGGCATGGCGACGCGAGTGGCGTGCGGTTCATCTGCGATAAGAAAGGGGAGGTGAAGGGTTCAGATGGAGAATCTTATTGCGGGTAAGGCCCTCGTTGCTTGTTTGCAAAGTGCCGTGTGGTATCGAACTGTTTTTGACATTGAATAGAACGGGTAAAGACGCTGCCCAGGCAATAGCAAACAACCCTAACAATGATCAGCCAATCGAAGCCAAATACGTTTATAAACATTCCTCCAGCATTGTCTTCTGTCCTTCTTTCTTCGATGACATGAGGTTTCCAAACGCATTTGCCATTGCTGGAGATTCCGGCCTCGAGAAAACGCTCGACAACGTTGACTGCAGGGAGCGTATAATGATTCACGAGTGGCTGCATCTCAAATTCACAAGGGACATCGGTCCGAAACCAGATATAACCGGGTTTGAAAAAGCAGCGAAAATTGCGGGAAAACAGTCGCCACGGAAAGCCGACTGGGCAGCTGCCAAAGTGAACTGTGACAATTACGCCTGGTATGCGCTCTATGCGTACTGGAACAATGCCAACACTGCTTGCGGTGGGGATGCCTGGCCAAAGGGTGTGAAGAAGCCCAACAAGCCATAGCCGATTTCGGTCGACCTCGGCGGAAGTGGCCGGCTGGACGGCTGACGTTGACATCGAAAGTGCAGTCGTATGTTGGAGAGTGTTTTGGATCCTAGATTAGAACGTTGAATTGACGGAGAAGAGTCGATTTATTTGTTAACTTAGCGCGAATGCCTTATGGAATTCTTGCATCGTGCTAGCATCCGGTTTATAGTCGTAGCCGTTGAAGATACGGCGCCAATCCGGGTTCTTCTCAGCGATTATTGTTTGCCACGAAGCAATTGAATGGTTACTGCAAAGTTCAGTAAGGCTCCCTATAGATACGTATTGGGCGTCGTGGGGCTTAGCAGTGCCTAGCAAATGGAAGCCCCGGATGGTTAGGCTCGAGAGAGCGCAGCATGCCTGGTTGATAGCTGGAAGCAGTACATGCAAGAACTCGGCCGCCAAACACATGTGCCAGGCACGATAAGAATGGGAACGAAAATGGGGGACTGCCTCGTAAGGTATCGGATGCTCCGCGAAAATGACGGTCAGTGACTTTAGAGTCTGACCGACAGATAAGAGGAATTTTGCGGTTTCACGAAAGAGACTGGAATAATTGCGGAGATCAGAATTCCGTCTATATGGCACTATTCGAAGCTCAAACTTTGTAAGGGATGTAAGCCGGCGGTCTGAAAGCTTTCGAAGTGAAGTCCACATAGGGCCAGGAAATATACAGGCAGTACCAGTTCGCTGCCGCTCATAAAGATCTTCATCTATAAGAGCTCCGGGCCGCATGTCAAGTCCAGTGTCGCGGGCATACTGCTCCGCAACATCTTCAGCCATGGGCGCCCCGTTGGGAAACGCGCCCTCATCCTGTAGGAAATCAAGGATGATGGTGGTGACCGCCGCCGGGTCTAACGAGTTGACGATAGCTTCGACTAGGCCACGATGCATCCACCCGATCAGACGGAGATGGCTCACAGCAGGGAAGAGCCTCGACGGATTTTCACGGATAAAGGATAGGTAGAAGATGTCATGGAGCGATGCCAGGTCGAGATGGCGCACGTTGGTCAGCCGACTAAAGACATTCCATAACTCGTAGTCAATTTCAATCAAGTCGTCTTCATCATGATTGATCCATGCGAGCGTCCACGTAAATGATCGTACGTGCGGCGCGAGATCCGGGCGGTCTGTCATCAGTCGAAGAAAGGCGCGCTGACGGACTACCAGGCTCGAAGGGCGATGCTCGTCACTAAAATCTGCGTACCATACCGGCCGGAATTCATCTTCTTGCTCGGGCAAACGCCCATAGTTGTGGCAACTAAGATCAACGGCCTCGAGAAGAAACGGAAGCGCGAGACCCCGGAGAGATTTGCAGACAAGGCTCAGGCGGGAGAGTGCTTCTTTGTCATGGAAAAGGTGGTCAACGACTTGAAGCAAAATCTCGGGGGGACAGTGTAGGAGATAGGGCGGGTGCGGCTTCATTCTCCTTATCCTGTTGCAGATATAATACTCTCGAGTGGAAGTCGTGAGTTGGTTTTCAGCGCGAGCCTGCAGTTAACGACACGGCTATTTTTAGAAGCAGTCTTGGTTATTTGTATTGTAGCATAGTAAGTAGACCCAGATAGATCATTTGAATGCTTCATTGATGAGCTTCGTGTCACCAAAGTGTTGCGATATCAAATCAAGCAAATCTCGAATGCTGCCAACCAGGAGGCCGTTTATGCATCGCTACCATTTACCGCTAGGACGAGTGCCAGCCGTCAATATAAAGCACATCACCGTCCCATCTGCACGGAGGTTTATGATATGGAATATCAACACTGTCTTTTATGCTTTCAGATCTACACTGGCCAGCTTAACGGGTAACGAATCTTCCTCGTCATAATCTGCCTTTCCTGCCAGACCTCGTTCCCACAGCTGTTTGCCAGTGAGCTTCTCCGGCCCTTTGGCGGTGGCTCTTTTCTTCTTCTCCTCTGCCTCCCGCTCTTCCTGTTTCCTCCTTTCCTCTTCTTCCATCTCTGCCCGGAATCTCTCCCGCCACTCCAGGAAGCTCTCCCTCGTTACAGCCTCGCCCTGAAATTTCCGGTTTTCTTCCTCTTCCGCTTTCGCCGCTTCGAATTCCCTTAGCGCCTCGATTGCTGCGCGGCGTTCTGAGATAAGCAGTTCCGCGCCCTCTTTGAGTGTATCGACGAGTGTAAACACCATCTGCATCCCCAAGTTCTCTTCGATGGTGGTTTGGAGCGAGTCAAGAAGCCGGTCTCTATCTTCCTGAATATCAAATTGAGGGTATTTTGGGGCGTTGGGGGGAGCGGAGATTTCAAGACGAGGGGCAACATCGGGGTAATTTTCTGGGTATGTCACTTGAAGGATGAGGATTGGCGGATCCGAGTAATCGTCTCCATGATGGCCGACGTCGAGGGTTATTGATATTCGGTATGTGTCTTCAGATATATCTGTAGATGTTCGTCAGCGGCGTGCCTCAAGCGTGTTGAGCGTGAATCGCGCACCTGTGATCTCGTCTGGGAAAATAGATTTTAGCGTCTCCCGCTCTTCGTCCTGGTCTTCTCGGCCCATGCTGCTGGCGTTGAGGTGCTGCTTATCAACTGTGACTTTCAAATCAAAATAGACAGAGCTGTGATCGTTTCTGGCTTGCTGTCGACTGCACTTCGTTTGTTGAAGCCCCTCGCATCACCCATGTCATCGGAAGACAAACCAGCCAAACACAAATTTGCTCCGAAGCCAGTGCATACAATTTTCTGTCTTTGCAGGCGACGATAGAGAACAACACCACCACCCAATTGACCCTCTAAAATTACTTCTGAGGAGATCTGCAATCTCGCCGGCCGGAGAAATCGCTTCCACGAGAGCAACCGCTATATGTCGTGGGCGTCGGGGCTCGTTGTCAGACATGGCCAAAACTAGACCCTCGAAGAAGCAATCGAAACGAAAAGAGAAATCAGTCCTCCGTGGCACGCGGGCAATTCAAAAAGAAATGATGACCGAAGACCCCTCGACTCTATATGAGCAGGCGATCGCGCTCCTCCAAACCGGACAACCGGAGGAAGCACTCGCCCTCGTCGAACGCGGCCTAAGCATTGCACCCCCGGCGTCCTCTAATACACTAATCGGACTAAATCTAGCCGGAGAACTATATGTCCAGCTAGGAGATATTGATACCGCTAGAGAGCACTTCCTGCGCGCCGTTACGCTCGATGCCGACGGCGTTAAACCAGAGTCGCAGGGCGGCGGAGCAGAGAAGTTTCTCTGGCTGGCGCAACTCAGTGAAGAGGGTGGCCATGATAGCGTGAGGTGGTTTGAGCGAGGAGTGGGTGTGTTGCGGCAGAATATACAGGCCCTAGAAGCAAGTAATAGTGAAGGAGTCGCGGAGGAGCTGCAGGAGAAAAAGCAAAAACTAGCGAATGCGCTTTGCGGAGTGATTGAGATATACATGACCGATTTATCGTGAGTGCCAGCCTGGGTTGCTAGCGAATTGTTTAGTTACTGACTTCGGGCGTAGATGGGAAGAAGATGCTGAGAGCAGATGCGAAGCCTTGATTACGGAGGCGCTCCTAATGGCCCCTGATTCGCCTGAATGCCTACAAACGCTTGCCTCGATTCGAATATCACAGCTTCGACATGAGGATGCAAGAGCGGCTTTGGCGCGGAGTTTGGACCTCTGGAGAGATTTACCTCCTGACCATCCACGTGTGCCGGATTTTCCCGTTCGAGTCAGTCTTTCAAGGTTGTTGATGGAGGCCGAAATGGAGATAGAGGCGCTGAAAGTCTTGGAGCGGATGATCCTTGAAGATGACCAGAGCATCGAAACGTGGTATTTAGGCGGATGGTGTCAATATTTGCTGGGTAAAAAGGGCCGGGAACAGGCTACGGGATCTCCGAGCGAAGCCGCTGCAGAACAGCAACGTGCTACTCTACTATCGAGTCGAAGCTGGCTGAGACAAGGCCTGAAGCTTTATGATATGATCCAATACGAGGACACCAGGTTGAAAGAGCACGCCCTGGAGCTTGTTCAAGAGTTGGAACAAGAATTGGGCGACTTGATCGAGGACAGCGGTGATGAAGCGGAGGCTGGCAACGAGGATGAATGGGAAGATGAGGATGAAGGCGAGTCCGATGATGACCATGAGATGATAGACTCTTAATCAACGAAATGCTTTGCTGCTCCCGGCAGTGCTTGTACTCTCCCGCTGTAAACGCGCAGAAAAGATACATTCCGCAGCAAACGCGCTCTTCATTGGCGGAAAGTCAATTTCTGCCGCGGATAATCCTTGTTCCGGGCGGGATCGCATCTTCTCGACGGCGGCAAGTCGCTTGCGGCTTCAGCGAGTTGACTATCGGCGCAATGTGGCGTCCGCAGTTCTGCTGGCCAAGGTCGTGATACATTCCCTTGCTCCATCATGGATGTCACGCCAAAGCCAGCAGGTAAGGAGACAAGTCCAAAGACAAAGGTTCTAGACTCGGTCGTCATCCACTCCCGCGTTTCCAGTGAGGTGAGGGAAGCACCAGAATCTGATAACGCATCTTTGTCAGACTTGTCAAGCCTGGAAGATGGCTCTGATGAGCAGTGGGAAACGGAATCACTCTACGAAGATGCTGTCCAGTTCGTAAGCGACGAACAGCTTCGCGACGGAGGTACGCGCTATCTATTCTTTCTCTAGCCCGTTTTCAACACCGAAGTTGCTAACTCTGGCGGTGATATTGTAGTGATTCCAGGTGCAGTGACGCTGGAAGAAGCGCGGGCTCTCCGCAGCCGTTTGCGTGAAATCGGCGTGGCACAATTCCTCGCAGAAACCGTTTACCATAGAAAGATCCCGGCGAAGAAACTATGCACTGCTTTCGGGATCGTGCCCCCAGCTTTTCTGGACGGCTCCCCTGATGAAACTTATCTCAACCCTCTGTGCATTGGAATGAGGCGCGAGTACTCCAAACGCTTAAAGCTGCCGCAATACAATACGATTGACGATGCCGTTGAGCTGCTGAAGCGTTCCAAAAATATCGTTGTTTTGACTGGAGCCGGTGTAGGAGGCCCAACAGTGGCAAGCAAGCGCAAAAATAATGCTAATTCATTTCTGTAGATTTCCACAAGCCTAGGCATTCCTGATTTTAGATCAAAGGACATTGGGCTGTATTCGAAGCTGCAATATCTTGGGCTTAACGATCCACAGGACGTGTTTGATATCAGCCTATTTCTCGAGGACCCATCTATTTTCTTCTCCGTTGCAAAAGATATTTTGCCGACCGAAAAGCGATTTTCGCCAACTCATGCCTTTATTAAGCTACTTCAAGACAAGGGAAAGCTACTGACGAACTTCACCCAAAACATTGATAACTTGGAGGCCAATGCTGGGGTCGACCCGTCTAAGCTTATCCAGTGCCATGGATCTTTCGCCACCGCAACTTGCACTAAATGTCATATTCAAGTGTCTGGAGATGCCATCTTTGATGAAGTCAGGCGCGGGCTGGTTCCTCAGTGTCAAGCCTGTACAGATCAACTTAAAGTGAAGCCGCATCAAATGAAGCGGAAACGCAGTTCGAATGGATCTCAGAGAAAGGACCGAAAAAGGTTCACGGATGACGACTCGGATGATGAAGACTACAGTATTCCCCAGCCTGGCGTCATGAAGGTATATATTTCAGCTGCTATTCACGTAGCCATTATGCTGATTTTAATCTAGCCTGATATTACGTTCTTTGGGGAAGACCTCCCTGACGCGTTTCGCGATCGCCTCATAAACCATGATCGCGACATTGCGGATCTCGTCATCGTCATTGGGACATCGCTGAAAGTTGCCCCTGTTTCTGGAGTTCCCGGTATTATGCCACAAAACGTGCCACATCTTTTCATTTCTCGCACAGTGAGTAATCCCGGGCGCATTGACGCAATTTTGTCACGTCTTGCTGACTGGTGTTGGGTATTAGCCTGTCTCGCATATAGATTTTGATATTGACATGCTGGGCGACTGCGATGTTGTTGTTTCCGAGCTCTGTCAGCGAGCTGGATGGGATTTGAAACATGAAATGATACCCCCTCAACAAAAAGTTGAGATTCAGCCAGAAGAAGGCTTTGCATCTCGGTATAGATTTACCGCAAGCGTCTAGCTGATTCCGTCATTCGTTATTCCCAAATAGATTTGTCTCCTAATACTCGATGCTGGGGACGGACGGGCTTTTTTATGTCTGTTACGTGGAACTGATAATTTAAAGGTGTTTGGTTCGTTATATCACAAAGTCTGTGGCGCGTCGGGGTACATTTGGCGTCGATGTTCGGAGTGAAATGTTGGCCCGTTTGTTCGTGCCACTTTTGATTTATCACGAGTAGAACAATGAGTTGAAATTTTATATTATTAACTGAATGTTACCTTTCCAAGACCTATATATATGCGCCCAATCATTTCTTAAACATTCCCAAAACATGATGGGAAAAATGGTATCTCAAACATCTTTCAAAACACGAAATCCAATTCTTCGCTCACAAAACCGGACCCAGACGCTCTGAACCAAAAAAGGAGATCATTACTTCAACAGAACACGCTCCTCACTCGGCCTTCCACCGAGTACCCGGCTCTCCTCTTGAGATTTCCTCTCTCTTTCCTTCTCCTCTTGCTCCTTTTTCTTACTCTTCTTCTTTTGCAGCTTCGTGATCGCCTGCTCCGTCAACTCCTGTCTGAACATCTTCTCAATCACATCCTTCTTCCTTGTCCGTCGGTCCCCAATCCAAATCAACAAGCCCGCCGCAAAGTTACAACTCAACGAACAGCATAGAATCACAGTCGTGAGGGCAAACGGACGGACGCGGTAGTCAATGCCCCAGGTCGTTGCTCCCAGCGCAATCTGGAATAAAGAGTGGAAATCTAGCAGGATGACGACTGCGATCAAAATGCGCAGGGGAAAGGCGTGATGCGTTGTGGTCTCATGGGGTTTGTAGAAGGTATGTGACTTGGCGAACTTGCCTGCGTGATGCGTGAGGCTCTCTTGTTGCTTGGGGGTGAGAACGGAGAATTCGGCGGTATCTTCAGTTTTGGAGGTGTCTCCAGCCTTTTCGATGTCGATGTCTGCGTCTAGTTCCTCCTCGCGGCGTTCAGGGAGGTCGTTCTTATTTCGAAGTTTGGGAAGACGCTGCTTGCGGCGAAGTTTGTAGGTAAGGCGGTGGTAGCGGGCGATGAAAAACATGTGATAAGTGTCCACGGCGCGAAAAGGAGCAAGGCCATCTCCGACGATTGCAAATAGGGCAACGAGAATGTAGTCGATTACATTGATAACATAAAGTTGTTTCCCGCCAACGTTTATCCAACCTGTGACCCCATTGTCAGTGTTGGACAAGGCCATGAAGACAGATAAAACCTACCGATAAGGAATAATACCCAAGCAAGACCAAAAAGCGTGATTAACGTGGCGTATAACGTTACTAGAAATCCAAGAGCTAAAGGAAGTGGATTAGCCATGATTGAGCTCATCTCAGCCGCCGGTTCGACTCACGCTTCTTGACATATTGGATGAAGCCTTTTAAGCCCCGTTTGAAAGCGGACCTCCGCGAATGTAGCATGTGCCGAACATGATCGTTCAGTGCCCTTTTATCATCCGCACTCCAACCTTCTAGGGACACACCATCTGGCAATACGGCAAACCGCGATTCACTGAGGGTTGATGTAATAGTGTCCATGGTGCCGGTTCGCTCAAGCACTGGCCGAGCCCCATCCTTCTGAGGCTTCTCCCCTTCTGCAGGCCTGGCTGGCCGCTCTATTTGTGCATGGCCACGACTAGGGCCAGGAGTTATAGCGTAGGCAGGACGGCGGTTCACCCAATTCCCAAGGTCAGGAATAAAAAGGGAGTTTTGAACGTTAGTTAGGGTGGTAATGGTGGATACCTCGGGATCTATTGCTCATCTCAGTCGCACAATCCGCGTCTGTTTGTAATTGATATCTTACCGATAACATCTAGCAAGTTGACGACCTCTGCCTCGTACTCTCCCTGGGGCAAAGATGGGACCTCTATAGCACCATTATGCGTGGCAACACGGTTCAACCCGAGCATCGAACGTGCTCCACTGCTCATCCTCCGGATCCTCCCCCGACTGGCACCAAGTGTGCTATGTTTGTTCTCAATAGGTCGAAGAACGACACCTTGCGCTGGCTCTTCCGAAGCAAGCGATTGCTCGTGTTGGTTTGGGTGAGATCGTTGGCGACTTGGCTCTTCAGACAATGGTGACATGGGCGCCGCATTTCGACGGGCAGAGAGAGCGTTCTGGTCGAGCAGGCAATCGAGCGGAACGCGTTGGGGTTCGGAGCTACTTCGTCGCCTGGTTTCTGGGGGTTGAGGAGCCTGACTGGCGCCATGACGGGTATCAAGCCCTGGCGGCACGGCCTGGACGAGTAGTCGTTGGGTATTCGGGAGACGCATCAGCCGGATACTCGGGCGTCGCTCTGGACGACGCCCCGGTGGGTTCATGGGAGCAGCCAGGCGTGATGCATTGCCGGCATTAACTGAGGCCGGCGTGCGGTCATGGGCAATTTCAGCGCCATTGCTAGAAGCATCCACGGGATCATCGGCATGCTCAATGCGGTCCATTGGGTGGGCGTCGTTAGATCAAAGAGAGGTCTGTTTCTCGAGGCGGACAATGGTTATTGTCGCAGAACAGACACATCACGGCCTATATCAGATGAAAAGTCGGTAGGGTTGCAACCTAATAAACCGACCGTTTCCCAACCTCGACTTTTTGCCCCTTTGAGTCCCTGACCCGGATATTTTGATATCGTCAGCAACACGACGTCATCATGAATAACGAAGCGCCGATTAACCTTTTTCTGCCTCGTATCGCCGATTTCGGGGTTCTGGACCAGGAAGCTTAGGGCAATTCAATCTCATCAACAGAGAGAAGCGATTTGATAATCACAAGAATTATTAATATCTTGAACGAAGTGTCCCAAAGACCGGGAAATCTACTCTGTGAATCTGGCGTGAGGAAGAGACAGTGCATCGGATAAATGATCGTCCAGAGCCGCCCGGCTGATTATGTAAACTCACAGGCCGTATAATTGGCGCTAACCACATCGAGAACAGGTCTTGGCATCAATCTCGCGCTTGGAGGGGCAACGGCGAGGTCGAGACTTCATATGCCTATCGAACAAGGCAGAGCACAGTGCATGCGGGGTGCGTAGGCTGACATGGAGTACTTGGTGCGCTTTGCGCAAGTCCATGAGTCTTTTCGAAGACCAGAACTTGAAGCTCTTGCAATTGTGGCTGGTGTGGACTTGGAGGTCATTGAATATCATGAGGAAGTAAGTTTCTTGGAGACTTATTGTACGGTAGATGCTTGGAGCGCTAACCCGACTATAGTCCCCTTTCTGCGTTATCAAAGTTCCGGATGAGAAATCAGCGCGGGACCTGGTCTCCCGTAGCATACTAGTAAAATCCCTCTACGAGCTTTGGGGAAGAGGCCAAAACTATGAAGAAATGCACCAAGACGCTCAGCGACGTGCCAAGTTTGAAAAGCCTGAGTACAGGACTTGTTCATTCAAGTTCGATTTTGACTCCTATGCCGGGAAACGGTCATCCAAGGAGAAAATCCCCCTGATCCAGTCCTTTGCATATATGGGGCTTGAAGGGCCAATTATAATGGCCAATCCAGATGAGACGTTTATTGTCTTTGAGCTATATGACCGTCGTATACCTGTGGCTAAGCATAAAAAAGATGCCGCCGAGCCATTGCGGCTGTATTTTGGCAGGTGGTTAGCTGATGGCGCCAGAGATGTGGTAGACAGATATGATTTGAAAAAAAGGAGTTATATAAGTACCACGTCAATGGATTCGGAATTGAGCTTGGTATCGGCCAATATCACTCTTGCTGCCCCAGGGAAAGTGTTTTACGACCCTTTCGTTGGAACGGGAAGTTTCTGCGTCGCGGCAGCACATTTCGGGGCCTACACGTTCGGCTCCGATATTGATGCACGGAGTTTTAAAGGCCAAAAGGAGGAAGGGAAGCCCATTGGGGTCGTGAGGAATATGCTGCAATACGGACTCGAGGCTAATTACTTGGATGCTTTTACCTCTGACTTGACGAACACGCCGTTCAGAGACACATCCATATTCGATGGGATCATATGCGACCCCCCTTATGGCATCCGTGAAGGTTTGAAAGTCCTTGGAACAAGGGAAGGAAAGAATATCGGGCCGGTATACGTAGACGGAATACCGACCTATACGTAAGTTGTAGCTCCTCAAACCTTTCAGTCCTCGAAAGCTAACAACTGCATGCTTATCCGCAGCATGGAAGGCTACATTCACCCCAAGAAGCCTTATAGCTTTGAGGCCATGTTGGATGATATCCTAGACTTTGCAGCACGAACGTTGGTTCCGGATGGCCGACTTTCTTTCTGGATGCCTACCGCAAATGATGAAGACGTTGAGCTAGCTATACCCGCAAACCCATACCTGGAGCTGGTTAGTGTTTGCGTTCAACCATTCAACAAATGTACGTTTATTCCACACACGGTTGTGCAATGTGATAGCTAACATGGCGCCCAGGGTCTCGGCGCCTACTCACATATCGTAGATACCCAGAAGGCGAAACCCCAAAATATGAACCTCGCATCAAAGAGGCGCCTACTGGTACGACGGCAGACGAGTTGAACGCCTTCAGGAAAAAGGTATAAACATATCCAAAGGTTGCCCTGTGTAAAGTTTCTTAGGCTAATGAGATTGCTCCAGTACTTTCAGCGCTTCACGCCTAAACCCAACAATTCCTCAACCTCGTAAAGTGGAAGAGCCGCTGGCGTTGTCATCTTAGACAAGACTTTAACGGCGATATCCCATTAGATATGTATGTACTGTACAGTCAAGGTGTATGAACTGTTTTTCTATTTAATCAGGGCTCATGAATCATAGTTTCCCGAGTCGAGATGAGGAAAATCCTTCCTCGAAGCAATCCTCATCAAGGTCGACGCCATCTGTCTCCTTGATCTTCGCAACCTCCTTCGCGAGTTCTGCCCTCAACTGGGTGGCTAGTTTCTGCCCTTCGTCGTCTTCGAGTTCATCGCGTTGACCTCGACCAAACATCACCCAGCTCATTTTTGAGGGCGTGATCTTTTCCAGTGGTGGCCTGGGGATGATATGGAAATGCGCATGAGGAACTGTTTGCGCCGCTCGGAGGCCTATCGAGGGTTAAAAGGAACCATGACATCAGACGGAAGGCAGACAACGAACCGTTATTCTGTACTACATTCCAGTGTGCTGGGTCGTCACCACGTTCATCAGGTTCTGTGCCTAGAATTGTTCTCACGACTACCCTAGAGATGATAGGAAGCCATTTCCCAAGCTGGACAACCCCTCAGATTTAAAATCATTAGCTGCTCAGTCCCAGGGTCAAAACCTCCCGAGAAGTAGATTAAACCAGTCAAGTCAATAGATCTAGAGCACCAGTGCCGTCTGAATAGAAAAGGAGACACCCACCTCTTTTCCTTCCCTTACATTCACCTCCCCCAGATTCCGAAAATGCCGCCTCGGAATCACCAGGACGTGCCCTCTTGTCAGCGGCATGATGTCCAAAAAGGCAAGCACATGTTTAGTTGAGAGGATTATATGTGTTTCTGGCGGGTTGTCATGAAGTCCAGGCGGACACTGGGCCGGCGAAGAGGGAGGCCAAGGGACATGTGCGGATGCAATGGCGCAGAAGGGACAAGTTGGAGAGTAAAGAGATGGCTGGGACATCTGCAACGCTGTGTCTTTTCCCCTGTTTAGTTACTTGTTACGGAGCGAAACCTTTAATTCTGTTCCTTTGGTCGCATTAAGCTGATAGATGCGCTCGGTTCGGCATTCGGATATTCACACTCTTGATGACTGAGCACATTCTGTTTGGACTGTTTGTATCATCAACTATCACCATCCATAATGAAGCCGTATTTGAGCGGCGGGATAATGAAGAAATATATCACTGTTTTGAAACTCTATGCTAGCCTTTCGAATTCAAAACCCTTGCCGGTAGAAGAACTGTGATGGAATCAAAGCCGCACCTTTCACCATGCAGTGCATGATGCCCTCACAACCCAGCGTACAGCTGGTTTGATTTTTATATCGCTCTCTACAATGCTCTGGTCGTGGACGCCTGCAGGAGCAGCCGGAGCGGTCGAAGCAGAGCCTTGCTGCCCGGCGGCCGCTGCCTTGTTTCCCTTTGTCGATTCCTAGTCAGATCTGGCAAGAGTACTCTGTTGCTAGCTTGCGATGCATACCTTTCTCACTGGCCCAAAGATGCCCCTGCTGGAAGGACTCTGTCACTATTCAGATTATCTTCCATACAGCATAAACACTGGTTTTTATGCACCCGGAGTCATTTCGCGTATCTAAGCCAGCTCTAAGACCGCCTTATCTCTTCCTTCACGGGATCTATCGGTGTTATACCACGATTGTCATCACCTCGCGCCCGTCAACGCTGATAAGATAATGGACTCTTCTATCTTTGCACAGATTACCTCGGGCTTGAACAGCTCGGCCTTCCTTTCAGTCCCTAGTTACAAAAGCGAGACTGGTCGCATATGCAGCTTAGAGATCATTCAACAGCCTACCCGGACTAGGATGTGTGGTTTTGGTGACACTGTCAGTGCCCTTAGCTTTTGTCTTACGCTGGCTAGTAAAGAGTCTAACGGAGTCTTCATAACATGTGCAGGCCCGCTGGCCAATCAATCCGCCACCATCTGCTCGTCTTCTGGTTCTTGATGAAGCCACGGGAGAGAAAATCAATGCGGCGTAAGGTCTCCATTCCGCAGCTTCGTGTATTCAAGCCACTAAATGAATGGCTGATTGTGCAGGGCTGTTGATATTTCCGGTGTTGTTGTCATAGTTGACCTCCTCGATGCTGACGGAACCACCTCGACGAACCTTGTTGAATACTCTCTAACCGACCCAGCAGTCACAGCGACGTCTTTTATAGGGGGTCGGTTAGGTAATGCATCAGGCTCACCTAGTTATGACGCCGCTGCACCTGTGCCACCGAGCAAGCAACTAGGGACAGCATCAGCAGATGGATATGCCGCAAGAAGGGTCCGGAGTAATATGGTTGGCCGTAATATTTCTAAAGCTATCATATTAGCGGAAGCCCCAGAGCAGGAAATTTGGTTCTTTCTAACGGACCTGGGTATTCGGGCAGCGGGCAATTATAGGTAGGTGAATTCATTATCGTGCGTACATCCATGTCCTTGTCACGACTAACCTTGCAACTAGATTACAGATGAATGTTGTGGATGTCAACCCAGTTAATCCTGTGTCTGAAGACTTCGATGGAATTACTGTAACTGCCAGGGCCGTCTCAGATGTGTTTGAAGTTTTCGATCCAGATATCCCGGCGTGATGGAAGGTCGTGCAATCAACAAACTCTTCATAGGATAGTGAGTAGGATCTCGCTGGTTTCGAACTACGCGAGGGACTAAGATGGCCTTTGACGGCATCAACCGTTTAAAACGATGGTGATAGCGATCGGAATTGTAACGCGGAATCGCGGATTTGAAATAGCGAGGTTAGGCAAGAAGAGCAACGGTAGCAACAAGAGAGCATGTATAGTTACAGTAAAATGTCCTTTTGCTTTTATTGATATGCTTTTTGATCGCAACAACTGAAAAAAGTCCTATTCAAGAACGTAAGGGTAACTATATGTGGAACTTTTGGTCGATGAATCAATATGGCTTCTTCGAGCGTTTTCCATGAATTAACCACACTTGGAAGGCGAGTTCTCAGTGGAAGTAGATTGACATAGCGCCCTTGCACTGCCTATGCATCAGAGTTGACTCGCCTGTACCCTTGGGAATGCAACCCAGATGGTCTGTAGCCGCTTATAGGATGGCGCCAGGGGGGTGCCGTTGAAAGCTCTGTTCCGCCAAAATGTGCTCGAATACACCAGGATACATATCCCAATTTCCTGCTGACATGCAAAAGAAAATGGGACGGGTTTGGAACCATACAGGAATACAATTTGCAGGCGAAAGACGGAAGATGCATATGTACACGCGAACAGAACAGTCGGACCCGACAAAAACAGTCAAACCCGCAAGCGCCAGAGTAAAAAAGCAACAAGACAAAGAAAGCAAAACCCAGCAGGGATAAAAAACACCCACAGCTGCACACATCGCTTTTCTTGCGGACACCCATTCGGCCCTGAACCCTCCCACTCCACTACCAATCCCGCAAAGTCAATGCGAACAACTGCCACAAAGATGCTGATCACTACGGGAATTTCCCTTGCGGCCTAGACATCTGTAGGGACAAGAGTCACATTGACCGCTCCCAGATAGTAAACAGAAGAATCGGATGCAATTAGACACCGACGCCATATAAGCTTTAACATGAAATTGTAAAATCAAGCAACCGGATCAATAGACAAATGTAGTACGAATGCTTTCCAACCGCGATCCACTCAACACCATCGAATCAAGAAAAAAGAGATGAAAATTATGAGATCGGGAACAGTTCGTCGAGTTTGAGAGGGGGTCGTCACAAGGAACAGGCCCGATGAACAGATGATTGTGAATAAAGTTCGCACAAAAGGGCGCGGATAACATGTCGTCGTATCAAATCCACTTGGGGAGTAACCAAAAACAAGAGCAGGTGTGGCATGTCCGCAGAGCATCGCATTAGCTGGTCAACGCCGGCCGGAACCCATTAGAGCCTATAAAAATTGCAGACAAGGGCAGTCGACAATCATGATCGGCACATTGTCAATCAGCTGTATGCTTGACGACTTTCTTGGGGCTGTTTATCATCTTTGTTCAAATATAGAGACCGGTATCTTTTGGCCCAGTGGCGCGCATGGAGGGAAGCTACAAATAAGCATTAGGATGAGTTCCTATCTGTATAACAAACGCGAAGTAAACTCTACCTTTCAAGAAGCGTTTGCTAGCATACTTCCTGTAAAACGCTTCATGGGCGACAGGACGATAGAGGTAGTCGATCATAAGGTGAAAGACAGGAAGGATTTCCGATTTAGTATATCCGGCATAGTACGCAATTGTCTCGTCCTATTAAAATTAATATAATACTCGGATCCCGGACAGCATCGCAACTTACCCACGGGCCGCGCTCAAGGATCAGTCGAGCAAAATACATGGCAGCAGCAGCAATATGGCTTTGCCTATAACACATAAAGCGGTGATCTAACAAGCTGATCTCCATTAAATATTTGCCAAAGGTTCGAGTATGAACGTCGTAATTGTCTGCTTTCGAAATCCTTCGCAGGAAGTTCATAGGATTTGGGTAGCTAATATCGTAGTTAAGGGTTGCGAGGATATGTCGTTCTGCATCGAGGATTTCTTTGTCGGAGAATGTTTCGTCGGCGACATGGCTGAACATGGCGACATGAGGCGAGAGGACTTCTTCATATTTAGCGGCAATGAACATGGCGGCGACACCAACAAGTTGCAGACGATCAAGAGCAACCATGTCGATAGACAAAAAGCGGTCAATAATGTTGACGGTAAGGAAAAGAGTTTCGGGTAACAAGCGAAATCTGGTATGGACCTCAATGAGCCAGTCGACCAAGATACCTCTCATTTTCCATTCCAATTCTTCTTGATGTTCGATGTAATTTGGGCTGGGCATCGTTTGGGGTTCAATTTCTCTGAGGTAGTCGAAAATTTCCACGGCGTATTCGGACACCATCAAGGGATCATAGAGGTCATCGGCATCTAGGTTTATCGCTTTCTCTGGGATTTTTGTTTTTGGCTCGGGTTCCTTTTCCACCAGCTCCTCTGATTCTGGGTCTGATTCAGCATGTTCCTCAAATCTTGTAGTTTTCTTTCCACTGTCAATCCTCTTCCGTGGTGGCTCTTCAGTGGCCTCATGGTTTTCATTAGCAGCAAGGGGCTTTTGACTTTGTTGCCGCTTTAGCTGCGCGCTTCCCATCACGCCTGAACCACTTCCTGGCCTTTTGGGCTCAACTTCACGCTTATTCGCGTCTCTCACTCCTAATGCGGATCTGGCAGTATTGTTGCGTGTAACCTTTTGCACTCCTCCGGTTTGGGTTGTAGCTTTGGAAGTCAATCCAACCCTGCTTGTCGACTTCTTCACTTCTTTTGAGTCATTTGACTCAATGTTGTCTGCCTTGTTGACATTGCTCACATCTCCCAATGCGGCACGCTTCCGTTGAATTCCAGTGTTGGCGGCAGTGAGAGTGCTTTTCTTTGATTGAAGAGGCTTCTTCGTAGCCGTGAGATTCACTTGACTGTCCGGGCCGGCCAGGGCAGCGGCCTTTGCTCGAGTAAGACGCGTCGTGGTTGCATTTTCATCATTTTCATTGGCAATGGCACGTTGCCGTAAACTTCTAGCCTGTGGAGCTGTGAGCATCCTGAAAAGAAACGAAGTGGTGCCAACTGATATCGAATTGAAGTTATTGTGAACTAGTATTGACTTACAGGTGGCATATTGACGAAGCTACTGCATTCACTGAATACTAGGAAGCAGGGAGTCGTAGCTAGACAGTTAAGTGTCAGCAGGTGGTGCAAGAAGCATATCGGATTTTGGTCATCATAGGGTCGCCTACTTTGTGTAAACAAGGATAATCTCCTCCAAATACGCGGTATTGGAGTGAGGGAAAGGGCAAGCGAGAATCCTGGGGTTCGGCTAGACCTTTTATTGTTGTGATGAAAGGTCAAAGGAGTCAAAGCCTTTTGTTGACCCGGTTTCTGTAGCTATGGGAGGTGCCACGGGTTAGCGTGACACAGCTCAAGGGAAACAGAATTAGGTAGCTGGCGGGCCGAATTGAACTCCAAGTAAAACAACAATAAAGGAGTATGGGCACTCAGGAAGTATCTATTCTTACTTGATGTTTTTGGAGTGTTGTTGTTTTGGTTTGGTGGTGAGGGCACGTCGAAAGTTGCTTGAAGTCTCGCGTGGGATATGGCGTCGAGTTTGAGCGGCTGCCTCCAATTCTTCGCGTCTGAGTATATAGAATTGTAGAATTATCGTGATATGGAGGGGGATAAAGGCTGCACGGTATCAGCAGAAATTAAGACGAGAGGAGCAGAGAAGAATACAAGCAAAAAGCAAAGGGGACAGTCATCAAGGAAGCTGGTGATGAAGGAAGTCAAGCGAACAAAAGCGTTTTTTATTCTGTGGTTGTGCATACACGCTGAATACAGGCCAGGAACACCACTCTGTACGGAAATCGCCCACCAAGTTGTGGTATTGACCCAGCAACAACGTAACAGCATTACCAGAGTGGAGACCACAGCGCAACACAAAGAGCGGGCAACAGGGGCTGCTGGCCGCCAAAACAAACCCGTTGTCCCGGTAACACACGGGTTCTGAGTAAGGATGTTCTCGAAATACCAAAACACCGTGACGTGACTGCGTTACGGTCACGCGCCGCGCCAAGTACCTTGCCAGAAACGGTTAAGCTCAGCAGCTGCTGACTCATTGTAGCCTTACTGTCTTGGGCCTAGCACACTAAGAGCATTATATAATCCGACCCGTAGTCACGTGGATTTGGGCCCGATCCGAAGATTTTCATCACAGAGCTTGAGATGTCTCTGGCCGTTCAAGCTCAGCAAGATCAATTGGGGGGCATTGGCTTGAAACCTCTGGATATTGCTTTTGTTTCCAGAGTGCTCTTCAATTGCCAGCTTCAAGTGGTTCAACCTTTTGCACAAGGGCCATACTGTTCTCCCAACCCAATTATCTCCCAACTGATCGGTGAATCGCAATGCTTCAACCTCGCATACCCTTGCGGGGTCTCCAGCATTCCTGCAAATACTTTTCTTCCCTTCTGTCGCGGACATATGCCACCGTTGTTGAATCACAACCTGCTGCGCCGGAAGCGTCAGTGGACACAATCAGCTCCTTCGTTCCGCCGCCTTCTCATGCCAAGGGAGGAGCCGAGATTCGACGGTACAAACCGCGCACTCCCGGGTTAAGGCACCTTCGAAGACCGGTAAACGACCATCTATGGAAGGGACGACCGATCCACGAATTAACGTTCCCCAAAAAAGGTCAAGGGAAAGGCGGCAGAAACAACACTGGACATATCACCGTTCGGCATCGAGGAGGCGGCCACAAGCGAAGAATACGGATGGTTGACTTCAACAGAAAAGAGCCAGGGCCGCACCTGGTAGAAAGAATCGAACACGATCCCAACCGGTCTGCGCATATCGCTCTCATCCGATCCAAACTTACGAAAAAACGCAGCTATATCATCGCGACTGAAGGCATGCGGGCGGGCGACGTTGTGCAGAGTTATCGGGCTGGTATCCCACAAGACCTGTGGGACAGTATGGGTGGTGTTATTGATCCTGGTGTTTTGGCTGCAAGAACTGCCTGGCGGGGCAACTGTCTGCCGCTCCATATGATTCCGATTGGAACATTGGTGTACAATGTTGGATTGCATAAGGACAAGGGAGGACAGCTCTGTCGCAGCGCCGGTACCTTTGCGACCATTGTCGCAAAGGCATTTGAAGGATTTGACCCCGAATCAGACGTAATCACAGATGAAAGAGGGGAAACAAAACATTTGACTCTTCAGGACAAGCACAGGTTGAAGAAATTGTCAGAGCATGTGACTCTTCGCCTACAAAGTGGTGAAATTCGGCTCATCCACAAGGATTGCTGTGCAACCATTGGCGTTGCAAGCAACGAAAATTATCATTATAGACAGCTGGGCAAGGCTGGTCGCAAGCGTTGGCTAGGCATTCGGCCAACAGTTCGTGGTCTTGCCATGAACGCTATGGATCATCCTCACGGTGGTGGTCGAGGCAAATCGAAGGGTAATGTCCATCCCAAGAGTCCTTGGGGTTTGCCGGTATGTACCCTATGGACCTATTTCCTCGCTTGTCGGCTTGCTCACTGGTGATCCCTCAATAGGCAAAATCAGGTTATAAAACTCGACCGAAACGCAAGGTTAACAAGATGGTTGTCACCCCCAGACCGCGCAACCAAGGCAAGCGTCGTAGAGGTTACAACTAAAGCCGCAAAGAATTCCTCGATGGAAACCTCCCTCTATTTCCCACGAGCGTTTTGTACTATTAGCATGACGGTAAACATCATTTGCCAGGATGGGGTTAAGCACGGTCTTCATTGCACCTCATTTACATTAGACTATCTCCGCCGGCTTCTGGTCTGTATATTCATATTTATTTATTTGATGCATGAGAGACTTTGGAATGAAAGCTATGGGGTTGGCTGGGCGAGTGTTTGAGATATTTTGACTCTGATATCGTGTGAATTACCCACATTCGGCTCGTATTTTCGTCATAGTCAAGCGTACGGGTTATTACCAAAATTACGGCCATAAAGCCAGTGATCACACGCACATGTGTATACACTAGTGTAACTATCGTACTCAATCGGACACGCCAACGCACGGTCGCGTCAACCAACACGAAGTGAAGACCAGGCACCACCAAAGCTGCGAAACGCGACATCACAACCCAATTAACTACTGAGGGAAACGCTGGAGAAACCAGAATATACTGATGACGGAGTACAGCACACTAAACGTTGTCAGCAGATAATTATCAAAGAGCACTGCGCAAGAGATATATTAGGGTTCCACGTCGCCTGAAAACAAGTCCTCCGTCTTCTCGTCCCAAGTGCATTGCAACTCCTGCAATTGAGGCTCCCGTGCAGCTGTCTACTCGTACAGGGTCAAAGGTTTATTGCTAAAAGGCCTTTATATTTATTGGCCCTTTTAGCCTCAAAGAGCCGACTTCGCGATGGATCGGATCATATACCAAGTTTGACCTTCAACAACTAATCTTCAATAGGTAACCAAAAAGAGTTGGAAATCGATTTTGCCGCTTGCCTAGTGTGCTAAGAAGGATATTGCTCTAGAAGCAGAGCAGATCAAAAACAAGTAGATGTGCAGGGCTATGGTGGAATTAGGCTTACCCATTATCACTCGTTTGGTGCGTCAATTCCCCGACCCGAGGAGCTCGCCATGGTGCTGGCCAGTCCCAAAAGTTTCTAAACCAGATATCGGGGATGGCTATGGTCAAATAACTATGTCCGTCACGGAAAACCGCAGGTTGTGGGACAAGGCGACGAAACTGAAGATATGTCAGACGATTTGGGAACTACTTGCCAATTACGAACTATCCCGCGACCATCAGAACGCGACGGCCTTTTCTAATGCCCTGCAGATGACTCGACTTCGATCGGCCCGCTCCTTGAAGACTTTGATTCCCCACCGCGTATACCAATCATCACGAATGACGACTTAAGGCACACGTGTACAAGCGATAATATCCACACGGGCGGCCGCAACTACGAGCATTTACTGCCATATATGCTCCTGGAATCATACGCTCCATCTTCACGCACGCCGATATAACTCCAAGAGATATCATGATGTATAAAAAGCAACACATCTCAGGGAATCTTGACTGAGCGTTTGCGTGATGGTACCCAGATTATTGGGAATACGCTCAAATGAATGAGACCTAGTGACAGTCACCTCTGGCTGGCAGAGGGCCGATCTCACAGCTCAAGAGAAATGGGATCTTAGTGGTATTATGGTCGCGAGAAGGACTTTGTTTTGATGGTATTTTCAGAGAACAAGTTATATCTGAGCTTCTCAATTGTCGCTTGGGAAGTTTGATGAGCGTATGGCGCAAATGCTACAGCGTTGGACTAGCATTGATACCTCAAAAGCACCCATGTGTTCCATGGCAATCTCTTCTCACCAAAATGCTACTTATGATACGCGTTAATCAGGAGCAAGAAACCCTGATTTTCGAGTGCCCTTTTGTGGAGAATTTACCAAGCCAAATCTATCAGAGCTTCCGGGCACATTGATACATTGTCGGAGTGCTAGATCTCCGTTTGGCCATCTTGCTGGCTCCAAGCTTGCACAGCCTTGGCAATGAACGAGACATGGCAAGTCGGAGCACATAGTTGCCTCCTCTTCTTACGGCGCTCCAGATCAGTGACACGATGCTGTCCCTGCCCGGCACGACATGTGAGTGTATCTCAATAGCGTGGTGGGAAGCATCAAACCCGATCAAGTAAGAACTCCAGTGAGTTGACGAACGCGCGAAAAACTACGCTTGAATCAATAGGAGTTTACTGGCTACCTTCAATATTTGTGTTTATCTGCGATGTCAACCCCGCAGGTCGCGTTTATGCGCGTCGATGCGTCCTCGCTTTGACGCGACTTTTAACCCGCAATACGATGGGGTCAATGCTTGGCTCCCGTAGACGCGAGCCTGCACTTCTGATTCGGCAATGCAGGAAGTGTCGCATCCAGGATTCGTGAATCGTTGCGGTCAGCGAGCGGTGAATAAAAATCGGCTGGTCTTCAGGGGTCGCAGAGGAAACATCCTGCGGGGCCCCGGCCGGGATTGCTGCCAATGATTGCGGGTTGGTCGTGAAGAAACAGTAAACATGTTTATCGTCCTGCGGTCCAGCCCGCCAGTGGTCACGTCCGGAACCTCCTCTTCACCACCGCGTCCCTCTCGCGATCATGGTCTGCTGTTGTGCTAAAAGGGCTCCAGCCTTCTCCCGCCTTTCAAGCCGGCTTCCTCTGTTTTGAATCTTCAAGGGTGGCGCTGATCCCCACTCTCGTGCTTTTCTAGATCCTCTTCTTTGCGCAAAAGCCCAGAGAAGAGTCAAACGGCCTTTTCGTCGCAAAAATATCGACGGCTTTCTCTCTTTTTCTTTCTCATTTTTCAAACAATATTTCTGTAGATGCCTCAACTGGTTTCAGGCAATGAACGACTGAATCATCTTTGTTATATCTGTGTATTCCATATCTATTCTTTCCTTTAGTTGTTGCCCAATTGGTTAGTTCGCATAACTATCCGGGGCACTCCATCTGCCTGCAATACCGAAAGTGTTGACCGCATCTCGACTTCTACCGGTGAAAACTTCTCTGATTTCAAGCAATTCCCTCTCATCACGAAGAACATCTACCTCAAACGATGCCATTGAAGCGCATTGCTTTACATATTTGGATCAACACTCAGCCGCAATGTTTACTCAACCTTCATTCATCGATCTTTTCTTGGAGCGAGGAATTCGCGACACTCTTTTGGCGCATTCCGCAAAGGAAGATATACTGTCGCTACGATTGGTTTGCCAGGAATTGAGCATCCAAACGGCATCAACTTTGTTCCGCGATGTCGAGATTGAATTCCGGAGCAGCACCTTTACGCGGCCAGCGCGAATGGCAGCATTGGAGCGCATCGGCGGGTTTATCGACACGCTCACCTTTCGGCTACCCCATCTAGCAGAAACGTTTCTGCCGCCATTACTTGACCCATTTACCGGAGAAGAGCAAATCTTTGTCTATACTCCCCAGATCCATGCATCCCAATGGTCAGGCTCGAGGCTCAGTATCCCCAAATATGGGTCCTGGGAGATGACAGACCTTTTGACAAAACAATACCCACCTTTGTTCCATGCTGCGACAAATATACCGTCCTTTGTCCGTGCTTTCACAGCTATGCCTTCCATTTCACACTTGATAATCTCCTGCGAAGGTCAAGTTTCCGGCCATCGCTACCGGCGTAGCGTCGTTGACTACGCTCTCGTATCTCTCCGCATAGCCGTTGAGCAAGCGCCACTCAAGGAACTCAAGACACTGTCTTTACTTCCAATTTATCCAGGAGCCCTCCTCTATCTTCGCCACATGGTTGGCTTTGGCACATCCCCGGCCGCCCGCAAACGATGGGTGCAAATACGAAATTTGAGCATCCATATGGACAGCTTTCCCTTTGGATGTGGCGAGCGTACCGATCATTTGAAACTTCTACATTCTTACCTCGAAGGGTTTCCCTCTCTGCGAGAGCTGACCTTCCGTTGGCGTGGAAAAAAGGGCCCTTGTCCGCTCACGTTATCGACGGAGCCATGCATGCGGCCTTCCTCAAATCGCCTCCCGCTCCGCCCCCACACTCCCGAGTCTCCAAAATCTCCGAAGACAAAGCTACGGCCTCTTAGATTCCCATTCTTACGGCATATGGAACTCGAGAATGCGACCCTCGATGCATCTCAAGTTTCCTCTTTCATTCTCGCTCACCGGCGCTCAGTCCGAGAATTCAATTTTGAAGAAACCACCCTCCGCAGCGGAACTTGGGACGAAGCCCTGGCACCCCTCACCCGGAAGTCCACCGGCAGTCCACGCCGCAAACACAGACCACCGCCGGTGGAAGTCATGGACGTGCCTATCATGCTTAGTCCGATCGGGATGGACGCGAGCCAGCTACAAAAGGTGATTATGGCGGAAACAAAACGAAAGGATGTTTCCAGGCATTTCCGAGCATATGCCAATTTCCAGCGGGCCACGTCGAGGACCCGTGGGCTGCTGTTATGTGGACCGGATCATATGAAGCGCTTCCTTCGATCTTCGGTGTTTAGCTGGCGATGAGCTTTCTCCCATTCTTTTCCTTGATTTATGCGGTTTTATGCTCGTGAAAGGCGTTTTTCGCATGGGGAATTGTCTGCTGGCGATAGAAAATGGTGGGGAGCATTGAAAAAGGGGGCTATAACAGGTCAACAATACCGGTGCAGGACGGACTGATGTCACGGAGATGGTGGTTGATTCTTTTATTTACTTTGTTTTCTTCTTCACGATTTGACGATTTTACGAAGAAAGGATGAGTACGCTCCTAGCATCGTTCTTCCTACTGTTATTTTATTCTTCCCTTAGTGTTGCACCTGAGCACGTTGGCGTGCCTCGGTATTTGCAGCCTCATCGTCTACGAAGACGGTGCCTTGAGATTTGAGGGATCTCTGTATTTGATGAATGAACTCTTCTCGTGTTTGTTTGTTTCACTTCGCTTCGATCCACATACTTGAATCCAGTTGTGCATACTATATCAATTATTATTCCTATCGCAGAGTCTGAGCGTCCTGCGCGCTCAGCATCAGATGTCTGGGGAAGTTGTCCACTAGTTAATCAACAGTCATATGTCCTCCGTATGTCATAACTCAATCTTCCGCGCCCTAGCAAGCTTGAGTATTATTTCCACCCCACAAGTTTCAGTTTGAAGCGTGGAAGAAACGCTCTTCATGTGGAAGTTGATGCGGTGTATGGAGGACGGAGGGCATGCGAGTGACCTCAGCGCCTCGGCACCAACGCTTGGCCCTTTGCACGGAACCGTTCACATGCATCCGGGCCTCTATTTATGGTCTGTATATAAAGTCGCAGCCAAATCCACCGAGACCTTCCGCCGTCTTTATCGTCTATCCTCAGTAATAATATCCATTATCGTTTTTTAATTTTCATACGTTAAGATACCCCCCAACTGTCCCTTTTTCGCCTAATTTCATCCACCATGTCTGTCGCAAAGCGTAAGTTGCTGCCCGGGACCTTCCGGGTCAATTGAAAAACAAAGTGCTAAATCCGCTTGAACCTCTTAGCCAGCTTCAAGTCCTCCGCCGCCTTTGATGTTATCAACGACGCTCTCAAGTCCGACAAGGCGGAACGCGAAAACGCCATTAAGAGCACCAAAGCCATTTTCACATTCACCCTGACCAACGACAAGGGCGAGACCGAGAGCTGGTATCTCGATTTCAAGAACCAGGGCGTTGTTGGCAAGGGTGCTGCTCCCGAGGGTGAAAAATCCGATGGTCAGTTTTTTTTCCTTGATAGTCTCCCATGTTAAATCCTGCATTCGCGCTGTGGCTAACATATGTTCTAATTGAATTCTAGTCACCCTCTTGCTCTCTGATTCGGATTTCGGTGGCCTGGTCAGCGGCTCCTCCAACGCACAACGTCTCTTCATGGGCGGCAAGCTCAAGATCAGAGGCAATGTCATGAAGGCCATGAAGATGGAGCCTATCCTCAAGAAGGCTCAGACCAAGGCTAAGTTGTAAATCTGGCCTGCCGGACGCTATGATAGCTTCATCCTTCGCGTTGAAAATGCCTATCGGCATAGGAATGATGGGGGGATATTTTGCATAGATTGCTGTACATATATTTCTCTATTTTGAAAATCTGGCCGCGATTAATGACCAACATCGCATGGCTCTGGTTGTCTGCTGGATACTTGGATGTTCCGGTTTTCGATGCTGTGACTCGACTACTATATCAATCAAAAATGATATGAAAATGAATTCACGGTATATTACAATTACTATGTGCGTAAGCTGAATCGGTGCATTCTAGGGAATTGATACCTTCGACTCTAGACTATGTTGCCAATGTTTTGTTGCTGGACCCAGTATGTCCATCTCTGCACATTAGTGAAGGCTGGCCAGGCAAAATACTTCGTGCTTCATGACATTCATCATAATTTGATAAGCAAGCCTACCTATTTAATCCTTTACTCTCGCACTCCAAGCCCAACGCAACAATGTTAATCCGGGGTCCACGTGACTTCCTATTTTGGAGGCAGCCTTGGCAGCGGATCAGGGCAAAAAAAAGGACTGAGACTTGGGAGGCAGCACGAACCTCCACGACCGCCTTTTATCAACATTTTATCCAACTCGGCCGCGCGCATCCAAGCTGGCCTTTACCCATCCTCCACCAACACCACTTCCCTTTTTTCTTTTTCTATTCGCTCACACTTAGAATTGTAATGCAATACCGGCTGCCGTGATCTGCCTTCCGCTTATCCACTTTCTGTCCCTCGCGGTTCCATTTTGGCTCCCTCGTCGCGTACGTTAATCCGCATGTTAGGCGCCTATAAAAGATCTTTTTTCGAGGTGAGTGTGGGCTATTGATGACTTTGGGACCCTTTCGAAATGCGAAATAACTTCCTGAACGCATCATGCTGAGTATTCCTGGCGGTTAGGCATCCCTGTTTTGATCGCCGCCTTCGCATCGAGTGACGCTTGCACATTTTTCGAAGGCATAGCGAAATCCTGTCCATATTGAAAAACGCGCGCTGTAATTTCCGGTTGCCCCGGTTTCGCGAGCAGTCTGGTTTTGGGTGCTTCCCTAAACGCCCACGTTGTCCAGGTGACCGACTTGGACTTGGAGACTTCATGCACATCGCTTAGTTTGACCGAGAGAGGTCCCTCACGAGTATCGCTCCCACACTCATACTCATACGGATCTTGTGGTGGAAACCCTTAACGACGGTTTTCCGCCAGTTCCGATGTCCAAACGTGGGGCTGAGTTTCAAGGTTCCAAGGAAACAGGGCTAGACACCATGTCTATGAACGCAGAGGCGCCACAGCGGGCTACGGCCGCGCAGCTGGCTAAGAGGAAGTAAGTAGATTTTTCTAGTTGAAGATTTGATTTAACGCTTTGATGCTATGTTTCTTCTGAAGCTTTATGACCATTGTTGTGTTTTGAGAAACGGAGAAATTCGTATTCCGCTCCACCTGATTCAATAGGGATTCGGTATATGGACCGAAACAACGGGAAAAGAGCCCTTTTGTTCCGCTTTCAAGGTGGCTGGCTATGATGTTTGCGATTTCTCGTTGCAATTTCGCGACCTCTTTCTCCGTTCTTTCACTCGCTTTTTCCCTTTTATCTTTGCATTTGATATCAAATCTCACCCGTTCGCCTCCCTTTATCCATCGTTTACATCCCTTGTTCCAATTGCAGCCCGTTGCTTCTTTGGACATGTCTCTTAGGAGCGTCTGAACGAGATGGTTTCGTTGTCGACACCAGAGCTGCTCAAACGGCCTACTTTCCTCAACCGACGACCCTAATCGGAGATACACTGTCTTTATTCTACCCTTCCTTTTTCTCCCTTTGCAACTTTCGTGTTCGGGCTTGTCAGCTAGCCGATTAAGCCCCTTCGACTCCCGAATCCGAAATATTTCGAGCTTGACCTTACCTTTGTGAGACTTATGCTTGATTTGCTTAGCGTCTTCCATCGCATAGCTATATTTTCCATTCAGTGTACCTTGAGTATTTGATCGCTAACTAGATTACAGAATCAGACCATTAAATCAGCGACGGGGCCGCGTCGGTTCCCCTAGTACGACTACCTTTAGCCAGTCGTCGCCTTTTAACACCATCGATCCAAACATTGTACCAAATCCGGTCTCGTCACCTGGAGTAAATGGCTTTCCATTTGGCCAATCACAAAGCTTTTCACAAGGCAACTCGCAGAATACGCAGCCCCAGCCTTTTGGAGACCAAAATAATTCTTTTGCATTTTTCGGATCCCAAAGCAGTTCCGCGCCGTCATCTTTCAGCTTCTCAGCATCAACGCCCAATCAGCAAATCAACAATCCATTCAGCAACATGGGGTCAACTCAGAATTCGAATTTTCAAGGATTCAAGGGAAACATGTTCAATATCCCACCCACAACAAACCAAAATGGGCAGTCGGGGGCTGGCAATATTTTTGGAGGCAATGCTTTCGGTTCGCAACAGAACCAGCAGCAACCGTTTTCATTGGGAGGCAGTAATGCGGCCTCTAGCAGCATATTCGCGACATCTGCACCACCTACTAGTGGCGTTTTTGGCCAGACATCGGGAAACAGTTTATGGCCTGCTGCTCAGCCATTCGCGACTTCTCCAGTGAAATCCGCCGACCAGATGCAAATGTCACCAGACGGAAAACCGGCCTTTGGCGAAAGCAAATCAAATCCATTTAATATATCCGCACCAGCACAACCTTCATTTACTTCTACCGCCACGACTACACCTTCTTTCTCATTTAGCGGGTTTGCCCCAACCAGTACATCTACGTCTTCGGCTTCAACATCTGCAAGCGCCCCGGCTCCTAGTTGGAACTTCTCAGCGACGGCTCCCACCGGCACTCATCTTTTTGGCGGGCCAACCAAAGCGAATGAAAGTGCCAAAGCTACATCATCAACAGAGTCCAGCAGCACAAACGCTCCGGCAGGGTTTCCCAGTGGCGCCCTATTTGGCCGCACTAGTGAACCAGAGAAGAGTGTTTCCAAAACCGATACTGCTACTCCAACTACATCTAATACATCCCAATCGACCTTCGCAACTCCTGCAGCGCCCGTGACGAGCAACCTTTTCGGAAACATCAGCAAACCTAAAGATGACTCTCAAGATTCAAGTGCGAAACAAAGCGCTACTGTTAACGAACCTCCAAAGCTTCAATTTGGCAGCTCGCTTTTTGGAACAAGTAAGCCAGCGGAGGGTGAAGCGGCAACACCGTTCGGCAGACCTTCCGCATCTACAAGCGTTGTGTCTTCGACTCCATCAACTACACCCGCACAATCATTGTTTCCTTCTAGCAGTGCTAAGCCGCTTTTTGGTGGGTTTTCGAAACCAGAGCCAACTGTACCTGAGCCGTCACCTACGCCGAAAACGGATTCAGCCACGGCGAGCCTCACGCCGTCCCCAGCCGCCCCGCCAGCACTTTTGGCTTCCACAAATGGCGCCTCTTCATTCTCTCGCACCACTCAACCGGAGCAGAATGATACGAAATCTGGACCAGAAAAGGATACTGCACCGACCCCTTCATTGTTTGCGTCTTCGGCGCCAGCCCCTGCCACTTCCTTATTTCCTGCATCTGCCACATCCAGCACTTTATTCGGAAGCTCAGCCAAAACTTCAGAGCCTTCGCTACCTTCATCTACTGGACCCATATTTGGGGAAACTACTGCAACTCCGTCTTCAAAACCCACCTTTGGAACAGGGTTCTCGTGGGGTGCCCCCCAATCTACTGCAAAAGAGTCCAGCAAAGAATTGAGCTCTGAGCAGTCCAAAGCGCCTGCTCCAGTAGCTAGCAGTAAAACGTTTGAAAAGCCTGCTGAGACAACATTCGGTGCTTCCAGTTCCATCTTCAAACCTACCGATGCATCTCAACCTCCTGCGGCCACCACCCCCGCAGTATCATTCACACCCTTTGAATCCTTCAAGGCAGTTCAACCGGTTGCGAAGGATGCCGCGGTTGGTGCGGGTGCGTTGATAAAGAAACCGGATTATGTTGACTCTGGCATACAAACCATCTATGAAGTGGAGTCAGAAGTTGCACAATTGATGCCTTCGGAGGATGAGATACCCTCCGGTCTTAACAAGGCTGAAAAGGAGGACTGGATCAAGCGCTGGCGATTCCAATATATCAATGAAAGCTTCAAAGAGCAGATAGCTGCGCTTGATGCCACCTGCAACGATTTTGAGCCCCTCATCGCCTACTATGTCATGCTTCGTCGACAAATTGGGTATCCATGCTCAATGGTCAGCCACTATCGTGCGGTCCCACACGGAAGTAAGCGAATATTCTATCCTGGAGACCCAATACCGGCTCAAAAGGAGGAGTCAAGTAAGGACGAGCAAGCCCAAATTACACAGGGTGGACATATTGAAATCGCTGGACCATCTCCTTCCACATCAACGAAACGAAAGGCTAGTGATGATCATGACGCGAAAGCCCTGCCTAGTCAATCAGAGAAACGTGCCAAGGTCGCTGACGAATCAAACGTAGCCAAGGTCACTGACCAGAGTGCCACGGAAAATGGTGAAGGTGAAACTTCTGATACGCTGCGCATGTTTATCAGTTCTTACGTCGCAGCTCAAGGACGAGAAACCTCGCCTCAACCTTTACAACTTGAAGCTGAGCCAAGCGAAACACAAACGGCGCCCTCTGCTAACCCGATTTCCGAAACATCTGCACAATCGCCGGCCACAAATGGTCGTAGCCTTTTTGATAGAGTCGAGTTGGACAACAGTGGTCAACTGCGCCGAGAAGTCGACGATAAGGCCGAGAACAAAGTCGATTCGACTTCGACGGAAAAATCTGCAGATCCGATTGGGAATCTGTTCAATGGATCGAAATTTGCGTCGTCTTTCAATACTCCCAGGATCCATCACCCCTCAGTTTTCATTCACTTCAAATGCGAATACCAGATCGCCATCCCCTTCAAATCCAAAGACCGATGGAGAGACGCCCAAGGCCTCCCCGCCCAGGTCGATGTTTGCGAATAATACGTCATTTCCGAAATTCTCATTTGGAACAGGATCAGAGGCATCCACACCTCCCGGTACAGCAGGCTCCAACGGCGTTTCTACACCAAACCTTTCTACCCTTTTCGGCACACCTGCTCCGAAGCCTCTTTTCCAGCTCACCGAACCTAAAAAGCAAGGCAGCAGTGCAATGCTATCTCCAGCTCCGTTATCCGCTAGTACATCTGTCGAGCCCAGTCGATCGACTACCCCAGCAGTGTCTGACTCAGGCGCAGGTGACTCAACAGAAGAGACCGCGAACCTTCCCCAAGTCGACCTCACAAAGGGTGGCGTAGGCGAAGGGGATGAAGATGCGAAATTTGAAATTCGAGCTCGTGCTTTGAAACTTAAACCAGGCGCTTCATGGGAGGTAAAGGGCGTCGGTTTACTTCGTATTCTTAAGCATCGAGAGAATGGTCGCTGCCGGATACTGCTGCGAGCGGATCCAAGCGGCAACGTCATTCTAAACGCGTCTTTGATTCCACAGGTTGATTACCTTCAACGTGCGACCAGTGTCCAATTCCTGGTTCCTGCTGCCAAGGAAGCGGAACACTGGGCTTTGAAGGTTAAAGACGCTTCAAAGGCTTCTGAACTGGCTGCTGTTATGGAAGAATGCAAGAAGATAGATTAGCTGAAAGCCTCGGTAGTTTGTTTATTATGGAACAACGGCCCTCATGATCATTGTATGTGTTGCTTTTCTGGTTTTGCCCCGGTTTTCGGAGGCAGTCTATGCTATAATCCGAATGAAATGGAATAGGGTACACTTTGTTTCTTATGCACATATCTTCCCATCTTCCTTTGCCCACGGGGAAGATGTGTTTTTCCTACAGCAGCGAAAAAAATAAATTGGAATGTTCGATTTGTCATACTCGGACCTGGGGTGTCTAATGTTTGAAAAACTTGCAAGAATTTTGTTTTTTTTAGATTGGAGTACTTTTGGGTCCCTTGACATAGTAGCATAGCCCTTGCTGTGACCGGTTTTTACCTGGTCAACCCCTTGAATATTCTTCCGGATAGATTGTTACGTATACCATATAGCCCTATTGTGATTCTTTGGAGATGCGATGACGGCCATTCTTTGGTGCTTTTGGTTTAAATGGAGCAAGTCCTAAAGGGCTTTTAATGTGTTGGATGTGTGACCGCCGATGTATTTACCTGCTCTCGTTGTGCGCAAGAGAAAAGAAAAGAATCTCTTCCCACTCGCGGATTCGAACTCCCGATACCATTTTCCCACTCCCGCAGTGTTTTTCCAAAGCTATGAGTTTGGCCCTCGGCACGTCCATAAAGGTACTTGGTGTCGATGATCCAGCACCAGCTTCAACAAGATATAAAAAATCCATCCTCGCCCCGAAAAGAAGCTCGGGGTGCAGATATGAAGCAGATTCCCACAAGGCAGCATAAAATAAAGTCGACCCCCGCAGCTGCTACTGCCCGCTTCTCCTGGCTCTCTCACGCAACCAGAGATCTAAGGCTGTACCGCTGCATAGCGAGGAGGTACTGGTGTGGAATTATGCAGAACGAGAGCCATTCCCCAATTTCCTTTGGTTGGGGGTTTGCAGTTCGCAGGTAGCAGGTTAGAAGCTCGTTTGAGAGCTCTAACCGCTACGCCACCACCTCGACTTGTTATGAGGTTCGGAGCTTTGTTGGTTCATAACCTTGGTTTGTGTTGTGTTGCTGGATACTTACCAGATCATGCTATGATAATTATACAACGCTATCTCTGGATTCAATATTCTTTTCGACTTATAACAGATTTCAAAATCTCGTCGACTCAGCTGATGATTTCACATATCAATGAGCCCTTGGGATCTCCCCAGCCTTAACTTTTAGCTTCCCTGGCACGAGATGCGAGATGAAATACTAAATCTCGCCTTCTGCCCGGGATGTAAGGCTTATTGACAGGGATAACGACCGTAATCGGTACAATGACATGCAGCCCGATCTGTGCTTGCTCGAAGCCTGCCCTGCAATTCTGACATGAGCGTGGACAGTTATCTGAACTCATTGCAAAGCTTTTGTCAGATCGGCTCACGCAGGCTCCCAGGTATCTTTTTTATACAGGCGGCGAGACTTGGGGATCTACATTACAAGAACAAGGGATTGAACCCTTTCTTTCTCCCATGATGTCAAGTCTTTCAAGGATTAAAAGGGTCGCCTCTCTTAACGCGGATTGTTTCCTCCAAGTTTAAAATTGAGCGGACATCTGAACGGCTCCAGGCGAGGGACATAAAACTGCGCGTCCATCCATCGTATTAGAGACATCCGCCAAACTCGAGATGCAGTGACTGCACCCGGCATCGGAACTGCTGGTGGACTTTCGGGATTTCAACTGCCAGCCAGCGTCTTCGGGGTTTGTGATTGCATTGAACGCACACGCCCCTTCATCTCTTGATTGGATTGTCGCCGCGGGGGCAGAGCACAGAAGAAATACCTCACAAATCTTATTCTCCTGCGATGCATCCCATCGTCGAGGAGAGAGCGCAACTAACTAATAGTTAATCGATTCTCTCGGTTCTGGTCGAACGTGTCCCTTGAATCGCTGCCTGTTCTTCTTGATCACGCGTGTCCCAGGAATCTCATCGATCCTTGCGGGCCTGGGACTGCTCTCCCATCAGCGAGGGTCGGTGCATGCCGCCACAAACCCCACTACGGGATGCTTGCCACACCAGGGCCTAGTGTCTGCTCGTCACTCAAAATTCCGGCTGTGGCTAGCGGCCGCGGAGCGTGGAACCAACGCCGTGGTTCAGCATCCTGGACACGATGCTCCTTAAACGAGCTCGACAACTCGGCGAACAAAGGGCGATGCGGTTGCTGGAAAATCTCGTCGCTATAAGAGATTCCTCTGGGATCTCATTTCTTCTTGCTCATTCTCATCCCAGGAGGAAATCTCTTTCCAGGCTGCTGGATGCGTGGACGACTTGAGTTTCCCACCATCTTCTCCTTATTCCCCTCCCGTGCCTCTGATTCGGAAACACGGTTCCCCACCCGACCATGGCGTTGCCTGCTAGGCCCAGGACCAAGGACACGGGTCAAAACGACGCCCAGATTAGGCCCGACTCTGAAGTATGAGAGCATGTTGAAACCAGCCGCTTCATTAGCATCTCGTTCAACTTGTGTACTATTGATGCTAACAACGCTAAATAGCTGGCTGTTCCAGTTGACGAAGGCTACTATGACGACAACCGGTGAGAGTCGACCGTCTCCACGCTTCCCAGCGATATTTATATCCTCTGACGGGACGGCGCCGACTAGATCTTGCTTCACTTCTTCAGTAGCATCGAGCATAAGGAAATACCGTCGGGAGAATGGAAGAACCTACCATTCCTTCAAGGAAGGAAGTATGATACGTTACCCAGTGCTTTGTTTAGTTACATAGGATATCAATGCTAAGGATCTACTCTAATGCAAGGCTATCTTTTTCCAAACGATGCTGTGAGCTGCCGCCGCACGAACATGAGATGGCTCCGTTGTATGCTAACACATCAATCCTCAGAAAGAGAACGAGCGGCTTGGTTAGCATGCACCCGGCGGCTCCTAGTTTTGCGGTCATCGCTTACTCAACATGATCAAAGATATGCAACATGCCTTATTTCGACGATCTGTAGAAGGAAAGCTAGCATTAGCCCCTATTCCAAAAGATATACGGCATGTTCTAGACGTCGGTATGAGATGTCCAAAAAGACGCGAGTGTCAACCCGTTCTATACTAAAATCTAATCAAGGCACGGGAACGGGTATATGGGCCATAGAATTTGGTGAGTTTGCTGCCGTAGGAAGTGTTGGTGGCTAAACTAGTTACGTATGATTCTAACAGCCCTACGCAGCCGATCAATTTCCATCCGCTGAAGTCAGTTTCCCATCTTAAAGAACGTCCATAGATATGGGTATCGCTCACTAGTATCTTGCTGCGATTAGGTTATTGGCACGGACTTATCCCCTATACAACCTTCATTGTACCATTCTCCATTCATTCTAGGCCCTTTACTGTCTGAATCGATCGCTAACTCCGGGCAGTGTACCGCGCAATGTGACCTTTGCGATTGACGATGCCGAGGCCGACTGGCATTTCCATCAGAAATTCGATTATATCCACGGGAGGCTGCTGATGGGTTCATTGTGTGATTGGGATAAGTTCTACAGGCAATGCTACAAGTTGAGTCGAACCTCTTGCTTATCCTTGCATAGCTTGACGACATCAGGGTCTTTATGTTTATGGCTCCATAAACCTGGTTTTTGCTATCCTCGATTTTTCTAACTAGATCGAATAAATCATAGAAATCTCAAACCCGGCGGTTATATCGAAGTGCAAGACATCCGACTCCCTTTCGGCTGTGACGACGGCACCGTGAGGCCCAATTCAACCATACTTCAATGGATACATCTTCTTATCTATGCCTGTGACGTCCTCGAGCGCCCCATCGACGTTGCAAAGGACCACAAGCGTCGAATGGAAGAGGCTGGTTTTGTCGATGTTGTCGAAGTTGTCCAGAAATGGCCGATGAACAACTGGCCAAAGGACCCGGTCATGAAGGAAATGGGCATGTGGAATCTGGTGAATATGCTGGAGGGCATGCATGCGGCAACTATGGCTCCGTTTACAAGGGGGCTGGCTTGGTCGCCGCAGGAAGTTGAGCTGCTGCTGGTTGCGTTGCGGAGAGATGTGAAGGATACAAGCATGCATATTTATTGGCCAGTGTGAGTGTGATCTTTGGTTTTATGCCTTGCCCAGTATTGTGGACGAAGAATGTGGTATAGCCTTTTGAGTCGCTGGCTGATTTGTTACTTTTAGGTACTTTGTTTATGGCCGCAAACCGTTAAATGCAGAGGATTGAAGCGAGAATTTCTTGCGAGGACTTTTATTGACATTGTGATTCAATTGATACCTATGCTCTTGTTGAGCGAAATTCGCCCAATCAATACCCACCTGACCTATTTACAGTCACGCTTTGCTCGAAGATATGAATGAAACTCGTGATCATCTTCATTGTTGTGCATTGGGACTTTCGAAAGGCCATATGTAGACAATATTCAATGAAGTAGAGGAACGACCGAGTCATCATACCATGTGATTAACATGATTTTGAACCTTTCCTAACCCCGCAACACCAAATGGATATTGACAGCTAATTTTACGAGCGATACATCTAAGCATCCTCAATCACAGAGGTGTGGAGACCCTTGGCATCCTTCACATTGACGGCCTGAACGAAAGAGTACAACTTTTCTTTGGCGCCCTCCTCATCGTTACGCTTGCGGCTGATGCGAACGCGGAGTCTGAACGGAACACCCTTGATACCGGCTTCCCAGACCTTCTTGTTGAGCTGAGGGTCGAGGCGGACGTCTCTTGTGCCCTGTATAGTTGCAAGAAAAAGGAATTAAGTGATCAGTTGGGGTGTCAAGTCAATAATAAACAACAAAAGGATGCTGAGCTTACCATCGCATTCTCAGCGAATGCACGGATCTCCTTGATGGCTCTTGGTGCTCTCTTCTTGAAGGAGACGCCATGGACCTATAAAACCCGAAAAATAACAAGAAGAAACAAATTAGTCTTCCGTCCGAATGCCCAGTTTTGTTTCTTGTTCAAAAGCACAGAAAGCGCGTAAAACCGCGGGGCCTTAAGATGGACTTCATAAAACTAATTATTTTTTTTTCTTGCTTCTCTTTTTCTCTCTTCCACTTCGCTGTCTCCCTCGAGAATCGTTCCCATTATCCACCACGGTGTATAATAGAAGGTCGAGTCTTTACCGGAGAGCAGATGGGCGGATAGATGCGACTGGATGTCTTGATTGAAGCTTCGTTCTATTCGGTTCTCCGTCCATAATCCTGACCCCAGCAGTGCGCGCACTGGCATGGTGGAACAATTTCCCGGCCATTTTTTGCGCTTTCTTTTCAAAAATAGCATTTCCCGGGATCAACGTACTCTCTTGTGAAGGTGGATGGTGTACTCGCGAGTAACAACATCGGCGATGGCGGAGCGGCCGCTCTTCTTTCCAGCTTTGGCACTCGACATTGTCTGCAAAAGAAATATAGTTGTCAATGGATGATTGTCTAAGCAGATAACGGGAAAACGAGAAGTGATACTAACTGGCTGTTGCGGAGTTATCCTTTGAAGTCTCTGGGTGTCCTCGGTGTCGTCGTCGACTTTCGTTTCGATCTTCAAAAAAGGAAAGTTTTGATATTCGACTTGGTGGGACTCGCTTATCAATGACTAATCAGAGAAATGTGAACACGTGATATAACTGACTAGCGGTGATTATATAATCGGGTCCTCAAGGGTCCATCTTCAAAATATCTTCTCCAACGCTTCTGATTCAACACGCTATTTTTTACCTGAAAGGCCTAAAACGCTGACTCTACTAATGCTGCTAGCTTGTACTCCGTAGTCAATGGGGTGTTGCATAATTATTTAACCACTAACGATAGGACGCAGCGATTGCAGCCAACGGTTGAAATCTGACCGGGATAGCCTGACGGAATTACTACAGGAGCGTAGAATTTGAACGCTTTCTCTTGTTGGAAACCCGCCTACAGTAAAAATGGGAACGCCCGAGACCATAAATGTTGTAGTTGAGGGACCCTGATGCGTGTCATTCTCGCATTATCATAAGTACATGTTCTCATTAGATGTGATAGCTATCACTCCTCAAACTTAACGTCGCCCTTGCTTATGTCTGGGTAGACATCAAATCTCCTTTGATCGTAAACTGGTATCGACTTTCTCATCTCGTCGATAGCCCCCTGGTCCAAATCTGCATACAAGACGTCTTCCGACTCTGCACCCTCGACAAGAATTTCCCCTCTTGGATTTGCAACCAAGCTATGGCCCCAAGCATGGTACGATGCATTCATGTCACGAGCCGGGCTGCAGAGCGCCGTGTATACTTCATTATCCACCGCTCTCGCGCGACCCAGCAGGGACCAATGCAGCGGCCCCGTCGTCGTGTTGAACGCGCCCGGATACACGAGCAAGAAGCACCCATTCCGAGCTGCGATCATCGCCGACTCTGGGAATCGGATGTCGTAACAGATGGCGAGGCCGATCTTCCCATACTCTGGCAGGTCGACAATGGTCAGTTTATTGCCCGCGGAAAGCACCTCGCTCTCTTTGAACCTGATTTTGCCAGGGATATCAATGTCGAAGAGGTGGGTTTTGCGATGCGTGGCGATGAGAGATCCCGTGGGAGAAAATACCAGGGAGGTGTTGAAGTATTGTTTGGTTTCGGGGACGTATTCCGGAATGCTCCCGCCTACTAGATAGGGCCTTGGCTTTCGCCGCGATGGATGATAGGACATGGAATGATGGCGACTGTTCCAGTTGTGGGAGGGGAGGGGGAGGAGGGTTTCGGCGTAATGGGGGAAGTACTGGGTGCCGTAGGGTGAGTTGAAGCATTCCGGCAACACAATCAATGATGCGCCGGCTTTTGCGGCCTCTAGAACCTTTGATCGCGCTCGCGCAAGATTGACAGGTTTGTCGGCACCTGATGCGGACTGTGGTCATTAAACGCTTTGATTAAATGCAATATTGGGTCGGATAAGCATACCTGTTGCTAGTTGCACCAGAGCGAGTTTAAGTGGCTTCTTTAAGATCGCAGACATCATTTCGAGGAAGCGATATTGAATCAAATACGATTTCACGATAGAGGGGTATCGACACGGTAGGTCTAGGTATAGGCGGGAATATCAAGTGGAATGGAGTACAAGTCCACTTGTATGCTCGGCTTCGGCATAACTAACTAACTAGTTCGTGATGACATCGGAGGAAACGCTGAGCCTAATTTCAACGGCCTTCGAGACACTACATATCACTTCGACGTGCTTGTCAAGTGAAGATCAAGCATTATTCTTATGAGCCCGGTCTTTTACTTTCTAAGGTTGAATAACGAGCTGGGCGAGGTGATACGCAGGCTATCCGAGTCCAATGTTGGAACATGGCGATGATATGGCAACGGACTCTGAAAATCTACTGCATGGTAGGCTGTTGTTTGATTTGAGGCGCTTTTTAAGGAAACTCGTATCATTTGTTCCGCTCACAGGCACCAGCTTAGTTACAGCCGTTTTTCGGCCCAGGGAAGATTGATGATTGAGACCGCTCTCAGTGTTCGCCATAGCGGGTCGGCTCCGACGGCTTCTTTATCGTGTCGGAAATATCGGAAGTACCTCCCCAGTCCGGCTCTACGGGCATGTGGGATAGGCAGACTATACAAGGATTTTTGTCCTTTGCAGAGTTGGGGCATAAGGAGAATTCTTATTCTCCAAATCCAGAGCCGGTAGGCACCTGTTAACTAGAGAGGATTGTTGGTTTCGATATTGCAAGTGTTTGGCCTTCATTATTATGGAGTATTTTTAGATGCTGTCACCAGAGTCTCGATCTGCGATTGTCCGGGTAAATTCGATTGGAACAAGGGCCCCTTATCTGACCAGTGACTTTATGCATAACGGTGTTGGGAAGGGTGCATTAGTCAAGCCGGGGGTTTGCCATCGTGCAGGGCATTTGATCTGTGTTTTCATACTCATGCAAACAACGGTCCTGCAGATCTGGGGAGATGCAGGACTGAATCAACCAGAAGTCAAACCAAGTCTTTGTACCCGCACCCGTAAATGTGCTCAAAGCCGTGCATCTGGAGAAGGACAGAGTATTATTCGGTGGGAAGCGGCGCTGTTGGTGCAAACATCGGGCCCCATGTCCATTGGCTGCAGGCATCCTTTGTCCCCTGCTGGCACGCCTACTGGCAGCTGAAATTCTGAATGTGAATGCCTGGAGGCGAAGGGCATTCCGATTGGCAATATTGACCACCAAGAATGATTTGTTTCATATACATTTGGTCGAGAAGCCGCAGACAGGTCAAGTTACATCGAAGGGTCTCAAACATGCCGCCGTTGCGCAGACAAAACAGGCCATCTGCAGGCCCAGTGTTGGCTGTTGGGCCCTACAAAGCGCAACACGGATTGAGGCTAAATACTCATTGTTTGCTGTCCTTTTCATTTTTCTGCTTTTTTTGATATATTACTCTCGTTTTCGTCCGATACCGGTGCCTGCACCGGCTTATGTAATCAAGAGAGTGTGCCAGCCCATACACATGCAGTTCTGATTGGCCACACCCCCCTAAGCCCCGTGCTGATTAAGCCAGATCGTAGGGCTGAGTGCGATCCTGCTGCGCCACAGCTCCAGCCCCACCGCGGCTTGTGCCGGCGTCTCTTTTGGGCCATCGGAACCACCGCCTTTGCCTCTTCAACGCTTCCACATCCCACCCCGGTCGTGGCCAGATTCTTCTCAGCCTTTTTCCCTTCTTTTTTTTCTTTCCGTATGACACCATTGTTGTGAGAAAAGACCCATTCCGTTCCGGCCACCATGTTCGAAGGTTTCTCGTTTCCCTCCCCGTCGTCCGGCGACAGCCTTTGCGTGCCTGGAAACCGTGACGACGAGGGCTTTTTGCACTGTGAGAGCAACTTGGTATCTCCTCTATCTTCACGGTGTCCGTCTCCGCGACTAGGTCCCAGAGATTATTCCGCACGAATCACCAAGCGTTCGCGATCCCCTTTCCGTCGCGGTCCAGCACCTACCTCAATGCCTCCTGGCTACGTGGACCGGCATCGGCTTTCGATCGGATCTCTGACCCGGAAGCTGGATTCTCAGTCACTGGAACATAACGACCTGAGCAGCGATAGTGATGACAGTCGCGGCTACCCGATAACCCCCCGAACTGGCTACCTCGAGCCCAACGCGTCTGCGAATTGGATGGATCGCAAGCCCAGTATCGCGTTTATATCTCCGCAATATGGTGAAAAACGCGACGGATACGCTACATCTCCGTTTGACATCTCGCCGACATCGACACCTCGCTCCTCGTGGGATCGCAGATATTCTCACCCTGTCAATCACACCTCAACGCCCAATACCTCCAGCCCACGGCACGGGAGTATTGAGGCCAGCAAGCATCGTCAGTCCGTAAGCGCTCTCCGATCACAACGCGAAAAGCTGTCGATCCTGCAATGCGCCTCGACATCGGTGGCGGACACAATCCGCCTTGCTCAGATAATCGACGAGGACGAGCGTTTCCGCCATTACACGGATGACAATGTCAACAACGAACAACACCCCAGCTCCCTCCCGCCTTCTCGAACTCCTTCGCGAAGACAGCACAAAAAGCCTGATCTCACAAAAGCTTCCGGTGGTTCGATACTTTCCGCTGCGTCGGCCGGCAAGTCAAAAGTTGACAAGTCGTATGGGCACAGCGATCGAAGAAGCGGGAGGCCGGGCCAAACCGGACTTCGCCGGAAAAGTTTAGTTCTAGCAGCCGTCACAGCCGTTCTTGAAAGCGAATCAGCAGGGAATCACCGAGACTCCGCGACTGACCCTCCAGCATCCGACCAGCTGCAGTCGCTGGAAAACAAACGTCCACTGCCGCTGTCTCAACTTGCGCTTGCGTGACGAGTCTCGCAATAGAGTGTCTACTCCTTGCCTTCTGTTTAGCATCTCATAACCATTTCCTTTTACACATATTGCCCTCCTACACTTATATACCCTCCTCCATAGGTTTTGGGCGGACGAAATTCTGTTATCACTTTCTTCTTTTTTGATATTTTAATGTTTTCTTGTCGCTGGATTTCGGCAGACTGTGGGGTAGATCCCCCCTAAATACATATATTTCTTCGTTCAGTTTCTTGCATCTTTTGGGTGTTTGTGTTGCAATGCTATTTTGGGACGAAGCTTAGACATATGTTTGTAGACAGTTGCACAGCTGTTAATGGTTGACGGCTGTTTTATACTGCGGAATTATCACAAATTCAATCAACCTTACATTCCGTGTGGATGTACTGGATTTCAAAGAATTTTGTCTCCTTGGAGCTATAGGTTCGACATACCCCAGCTCGGATATCCAAGAATTACAACAGTTGATAAAGGAAGGGAATTGGGGAGAAATCCTTAACAGGAGCGCTGTACCACATGTCGCGGCATTCACCTCTAGACCTCCCCAGGCAGTCAGGTTTCTGACAACGGAATGAAACAAATTACCCATCGTGACACTGGTGTTAAAGAGCGCACTACTTATCAAGACAATGGTGGGTTGACAACACGAGCTCGCAGAACCCTATGTTTGTTATTCCAATCCCAACTACAAACGTTTCCAACCTACAATGCGAGGCTAACATCCCGTTCCGTCTCCTTAATGCGGCTCACGAGATAGGGTGGGATCTAAGTCCTGGCAATACACTGTTATATAGGGTCCGCGTGCACGAGAATACGCGAAACTGATCCAAGACTGAGCTAGGGTGGTTTCTTCGAGGTTGGTATTCGGGCTGATATTTGAATTTTAGGGGATCGAACGTCAGCAATCATGGACTGTGAAAAGGACTTCGACTAAGATAATGACTTACAAATATGAAAGGAGATTTGGAGTGTACGTTTCTGCATGATGAGTCCAACCCAACGATGCGAAGAACTCAGTGATAGCTTCGGTATTCTCCATATCTTTCAGTCCCCGGATGGAGAAGTAGGCCTTTGGCACAGGGTCAGGCCTGCCTGGGTGCAGTTCCCAATTCACCACGATCGGATTCAAAGAGTCTGGATCTTTCCAGATGGGATAATCTTCCGACACTTTGCGGTGCCCTTCGGGGATCCTTAGCCGCTTGAATAAGTCTTTCATGAGCTCAAGACCCTCCAAGTGCTCAGGCTCCTTCAGTTTCCCTCCCAGAGTCCAGTGATGCTCAAGCCTCTTCAGGTCAACGTGGGTTTCATAGGCATAAATCTTTATACGACTATGCTCCGGCTCCACTAGATCGAAAGCGACATTCCATGGAGAAGCCGTCGACGAAGCATCTCCCGGTCCACTTGCGATGGATGAAGCAAAAAATTCCTCAATTGCGGACAATCCAGGGAACAGCTGGCCTGTGGGGTCGACAGCGCGCACGGCATCCAAGAAGATCTGGGAGCAAGAGATATTCGTGGCAAAAGATTTCAATGTCGGGAACATATACATCTTGGCCATAATCTGCCCGTTCGCGCCAAAGTCGAGTGCAACCGTCGACTGCACTTCGTAAATCTTGCCTTTGATCAAACCCTTCTTTTGGAGACTCTCTTTCTCCTCGTCAGAGGCTACCATATGCTGCTTCATGGCATCATATATCTTGGTACTATATCCCGCATCACGAAGCGCCGGTTCCAGGGTCTTCAAGATCCGAGTTGGATCAGGCTGGTAACTAGCATCATCGTCCCCGGGTCCCCGGACAATCGGCAAAAAACAGACACGTGGCGTCGATTTAGATCTTTGAAAATTCATGCTCAACTCGAAATCCGGATCTCCACTCGACGGGTTTGGGAACACGCGTTTTGTCCCCAGGGCCGGTGGAAGATGCGGATAAACATGTTCGCGCATAAACGTCAGGTATTCATACTGCTGGTCAACGTCATAGCCTGCGTCTCGGAGCATTCTAGCGAAGATTGGGGCCGTTGCCTTCCACCATTTGGACTGGTTTTCGTCCGGGAAGCAAAACGCTCGGTCTAGGGCCCGATAAGGCTTTGGAAAAAGCCCTTGCTTGGGAGGGATTGCAAGGGCCGGTTTGGTGGTTGGAGCAGAGCTGGTAGCAGCCGCAAATTCCACGGCGGCGGGCATCGTGCTGGCAAGGAAAGGGGACCTGGGTATCACTGTTTGGAACTGCAAATGACTGCCAGTCACTGGGAAGGGGGAAGGTCAACAAGGGAAGCACTTGGGTATAGATACGGAAGCTGGCCTAAGGGCGGGTATTTAAGAGTGAACTTCATATTCAGGCGGGATACAACGGGTTACAAAGGTTGAGAGGGGTTGGTGTGTGTGGATGTTTGCAATCCAACCAGTCTAATACTGCAATATATGGTGTGGGTGACATTCTGCAATGATGTCTGGCATCCCTGAATACTCCACAATAACATCCATGCCTTCGGAGCGGGCTTGACTGTCGTGAATAAAAATGAGCTGTAGCAACTCTCCGGGGCTTGACTTTAGGACCAAGCTGTAGTCAATATTAGACAATCCGGTCCTTGCTTCTGATAATGACAGTCGTGCGTCCGTACAAAGTACACTCAGGGTCATGGTCTATTCAACTACCAATATCCGTATAGAAATCAATATGTTGCTCATGAGACTGGAGTAATCATTGCAACTATTCACTCCCCCGCTAGATCTGCAGTTGATCAGCCCAAGTTCTCAGCCCAAAGTTCCCCTTCGTCATACCAACCTTTTCCCAGAGATCTACAGGTGTTCAATGCAACTAGGATTAGGAATGTGTTGGATCATGCACCCGTGCAGTGCTTCCTTTTTTGTGCTCCGCCTCATCTTGATAGTCAGAATGGTTAATTTCTTTGACAGCAATAGAGCCTAGGAAGAAAGGATAAAGGAGAGGGTAAGCAGGTGGACGGAACGAGTTTTGAACTCCAAAACAATCACTTTTATTTGCCTTATAGGGGGGGTTTCAAGAAAGGAAAATAGTAACATGGTGTGCAATACTCAGCTTTGATTATGGAAGCTATTGGGGGACTCTGACAGATCGTATAACTTCACACAGACGATGATTTGAGGAGACAAGAAAGTTAAGTTACAAAACCATGATTATGAGAGGCAGGATAGCCCATCAGCAAAAACGTTCGATATTAGGTTGCAATAGAAAGAACAGAACACAGGGAGCGGAAATAAAACAAAAGGGGATACTCAATCAAGAAGGGTATTTAGAAAGGTGAAAAACCGGAGGCGACAGTGTGATTTCAAAAAAAATAGTAGGCATAGTAAAACACTGAAGATAATCTTTAACAAAATTGACTAGTGGTTAGAACCGAGCTGATCCCACTTGCAATATGTAAGAAATTATTCCAAGGATCAAACCCGGTGAAACGTCGCCTAAAAGCCAACAAAGTATTAGCACAAATGCACATAGTTAGCAGTGGAAGCAGGGAGACAGAACTCGTCACTTCACCAGAAATTTTGACACCAATCACCCTGACACGACCACAGCAACGACAATCATGGCTGCTAAAAACATGGATGTAGCAATTGCAATGCTCAAACGCCGAGCCAAAAGCTCCTCTTTCTCATGAAACCCATCGATATCACCCTCAGACCTGCGCTGGATTAGAATGTCCGTGGGCCCGGCACCGAATCCAATCATTGCTATGACGATCCACCCCAGTGGCACGGCTAATAAACACCACCCGATAATTTGTCGGCCTAGGCGTCGCTGTTCAACTAGATTACCAGCAGCTGGCCGTCTACGAGCTGGCTCTAGGCGCGGAGCTTCCGGGAATGCAAGATGGTCAAAGTGTGCATTTGCGGGCAGTGTCCATGGCTCATCAACAACGGCGTTGGGGGAGCGAATGGTGGCAGCCCGCGGAGGCGCAGACGTTAAACTATTGTCAATAGGTGGAAGTTGTGGCACCCATGTTGCTCTCGTAGCTCTGGAGGCAGGGCTTGGTTGACAGAAATCCGCTAGCAGAGCAGGATCCATTTGCTCCAACCGCTCCCGCAGGAGTTCGTCTGCGGTTGGCTGCTTTATACCTTGGCGAGTGCTGCTTCGACGACCAATTGTTGGCGTTCGGAGATGAATTGAGCGTGAGGTAAAGATTGATTTGATCGTTCCTTGCCTCTGTATATGGCGTTCGAGCAGGCCTGTGGAGGCAGGGCGAGCGGCGGGTTCATCGTGTGCGTTCGATTCCTGGATTGTAGTAGGCAGAACATTATTTAGTGATTTTCTTTTGTGCGTATTCCCAAGGACGCGATCGCGGGCTGATCGAATTGAGTGATATAGTGAACCGGGAGAGTGCTTGCTGATAGCCGGCACGGGAGGAAGGAGGCGATCGGTTGAAAGAGAGCGTGATGGTACAGCCGAATTCTCTCTGGTGAGCTGACCGTGGCTCGGTGGCTGAATGGGCTGTTCGAAAGGACGAAAACACGGGTGGTAGTTCAAATTTATAGACAAGGGATGCGTACTGATATCATCGTCAGTACTTATCGTTGAAATTTTTGAAACGTTAAGAGAGCTGGCATCTAGAGAGTTGTACAATCCCCCATTTTGAGAATTCCATGCATTGAAATGGTGCAAGGGAGACGCTGCCTCAACGGCACGCTGGGCTGGGTCCTTTGCAACGAACTCAGAAAACCAATGCTGAAAGGAGGCTCTTGCACTCTCTCGGATACTCGAATCGCGTTGAGAATTTCCAAAACCACGGTGGGAAGTGTGTTTGTCTTCTTTGTTGCTAGAGGAAGTCAACTTACTATTGCCAACGCTGGGGAAATAGCCGGCACTATTCCCTGGCTCATCGCCCTGACTAGACGGGCCATGTAGCGAGGGCGGAGTGGAACAGAAGGGATTTGTATGGGCATCACGCAGCGGGGCCGGATGCTGGTATCGATTCGGCAAGGGAGTTGGGCATCGAGACGTGGAAGCGATAAGGGCTGGGACTGGTTTGCTGAATGCATTGAGCCTCGCGCCTTCAGAGTTTCGATAGCTGGTGTTAGGAAGCAAAACATATTGACCGGTACTGGGGTCCTGGTGCCAGTAGTGGGAATAGCGCCCTGCATAAGCTGGAGTTCTGACAGTGTTAGCATTGTAAGAGGAGTTAGCAAGGCCAATTCTGGATGATCTCAGCGGTGGCCCAGTGTGCTCATCAGCATTGGCAAGGCTGCCGAAGCTGGAGCAATCGGCCAAACTGCACTCTGTATCGCCCTGGGCCAGGTTGTTGACAGTTGCACGGGTAAACTGCTGGCTGCCAGCAACAGTTTCCCAGTCACGATCAGCGTCGTCGTCCGCCTCATGAATTCTTTCACTGCCTAGCTGCTCGGCGCGTTGATCTAAGCCTGCACGCATGTTTGTCCTGTTTCCCCCAAAACTGCTTTCATATCTCTTTATTGATGAACGCGTTCCCAGACCACCATAAAGGCATGGATTTCTGGGGCCTTGCTCTGACAGACGTGACGAGGCTGACGAGACTCTCAGGGGGGGAGGAAAAATAGCCGAAGATCCCATGTACTGGCTTAAATGCTGCGTCGATGAGCCTTGGCTGCTTCCCGGGCCCAAATCGATAGGTTCATCACCATCAAACTGGCTATCAGACCTGTCTTGGAAAAGACCTTGTTCAATTTCACGAGATACTGCTGCTGACTGATGAGATAGGAGTTTCATTGTTGTCTGTTCGTTCTTGGGCTCTTCTTCCTGGTTTGATTGGACGTGGACGGTAGAGCAAGGCCGACAAGGAGTACCGTCCCGGTCTATTGCAATCCGGTTGGAACGCGATAACGGTTTGAACGGAGAAAATCGCCGGGAGGATAGCCACTTTCCAGGAGGAATCGGTCGTGAAAAGTTTGGGCTTGATGCCCCGTTCCTCTCGCAGTATAAGCCCGGAGGAGCTAGTTCCTGTGGAACATGTTGTGGGTTATTGAGGGGTGTCGAAGCCTCAACCTGAAGGGAATTGGCAGTTTCCTCGCACCGGGAACTGCCTTCATGCATCTGCGTTTCAGTATCGTGTTCTCCCTGGGTGGCGTTGGTGGGCGGCTCTTCGTCCTCTACGGAATGTTTCTCAATATCAGCACACGATTCGGTTGATTCCAAATCCGAAATTCGCGCGTTTCTTAGCCGTACGTCAAACATATTAAGTCGGTTCTTGATAATGTTATCAATCGTTTTCGGCTTGTCAATGCGATTACGGATGCCGTTCAGGTTTGGCTGGTGCCGGTTAAGGTAGCTACCCAGCACAGGGCTCGAAGAATTGCGTGTTGATAACGAAAGGAGGTTATGCTTAAGGTTGCGTCCAGCAAAAGAGCCTGGCCGGCGTTTGACAAGTTTAGCGGGTTTCCGTGGGAATTCACGACCTTTCTTTGCCCTTAGGGACCAGCCAGTTGACACATGCCGAGCAAGGGTGCATTGATGTGACTTAGAATTGGTCATGTTTGCCAGAGCAGCTGTATCACTGTGTCGACGGCGGTGAAAGGATGCCAAAGGTCGACTTTGCTGGATATCGTTCGCCTTATCCTGTCTCTCGTCTGGCGGCAAGTCGATGGCTGGCGATGGCTGTAACTGTGGGGGGTTCGCCCCGCCGTTGAATCTTGGGAATCTTGAGGTGATGGACGAATGGGCCGTCTCAAGATCGTCGAACAAGGCACGGGATGGAGTTCGTTGCCGCTCCGTATCTACAGACCGTGACCGGGCGCGCGACCGGGCTCCGGATCGATTGGGACTGGCCATGTTTCCTGGGTCGACAAATTTGGCTTGGATGTTTGCGATAGAGGAGCAAGAGTGCGAATATTGTTGCCTTTGAGGATTTAGGATCTCAAAGGAAACGCCTCGATGATGCAGTCTTCTCTGATGGTGAGAAGAAGACGGAACAACTTCAGAGAAGGACTTGTTATGGGAGAAAAGTCTGGCAGGAATCTGCCGGATATGTTTGCAGAACGCGTTCTGACGCGACCTGTTAACATAAATAAACAAGAAAAGGGGCATAAAAGGGAGGGGAAATACTCACTTACCAGCTTGCTGTTCTGGGAATCTGGACGCGTCGCGTTCACGCCAGAAACAAGTCCTAGAGCCTGGGGTTCAGGGAATGTTCCTGCAAAAAGGGCGGATTTCTGCGCAGCACTCGTGGAAACAGGAGTAGCCACACTGTCATCATCGTCCCCGTTCAAGCGAACGGGTATTTTGGCTGACAGTGCTGGCGATGGCAAAGGACTGGGAGATCCGGAATAGACCGAAGCAGTTGATGGGGTGGGAGGAGGTGAAGGAGGAGTGCGAGGCACGCAGCCGGTGCTGAGGTTCAGAGCCTTTGGCTTTCGCTTCAAGCTCCTTGCTGGCGGCGGATCCGTCACCTCTGGACGAGGGCGAGACAGCGATTCACGATATCGATGGAGGGAGAGGTTTCCCGAGACTGGCTTCCCAGGCTCGGCAAGCTGTAGGGAAACGAACAGTGTGGGAGTAGGGCTCAGCGGAGGAGAAAAGGCAGGGGGAGGTGTCTTCCTGGAGTTCAAACGGGGGCGAAGTGGAAGAGGAACGAGGTTGCCGGCCAGAAGAGGAGAGGGAGGAGTGGTGATGGGCTCAGTAGCGGGAGGGAATGGTGCATCTGCCATCATCTGAATGCACGAGTCCCAGTCCTCCAGATAGACCCCCATCCGCTTTCTCCCTGACTCCGCGCTCAGCATTTTTTCCCTTTTCAATTCCAGTAGGTAACATGCAGTTATATCGCTCTCTACAAACCGCATCCCCGGGATTTTGAAAGCCCGTTCTATTCTATCCTCTTATGCAACCTGCAAGCCTTCAAATCTCATGGATATATAGATTCAATATCACGGGTATTGCAAACCAGCCGAGTATCAAGCGGGGAAAAGAAATCCACGAGCAACAACGAAAACACTTTTGATCCGGGTTCCACGAATGAAAAAGCAAGCCACTCTATCCAGGAAATGAATTTCGCAAAGCTAGCCGGAGAGCAGGGGGAGACGGGCGATGGCAACAATCGTATTTTGACTTCCACGAACAATTCCGGAGCCAGAAAACAAGAAAGTCAACAAAGAGAGGCGATTGATCATAAAGCCATAGAGGAACAGAATCAGTGTTTTGCGCAGTAGCCAGCCACTGCGTCCGTCGCCTCTCTATGGGGCCGATGGAGTATGACCAAGGACAAGGAGGACCTGGAGGACAATCGATGACTTCACCATTTTGCTTGGGGTCAAAAGGAAACATGTATTAAATATAGAGCAGTCCCCCAGCGGGAGAATCTGATTCACATGGAAAGAAGACGAGTGCAGTTGATCAAGAGATGGACCAATACGACAGACGGCAGCTCAACGTCCGTCTGCCCTGATCGAATGCAGGAGTGTACACCATCCGCAAATAAAACAAGGCGAGGGCAAAGGTAAAACACCATCCATTCCAAGCTTCAGATCCAAGACCCAGAGCAGCGTTGTGGGTTTGCCTCGAAGGAAAGAAAAAAAAACCCCTTCCATTCCGGCACGGACAGCTGCCAGGCACCGCGCACCATGACTGGCGGAGGGGGAATCAAGGTTATTTGGCCCACGGCGGTCGTCACAAGATGAAGACGTGAAGAAGAGCAACTGGCAGCGCAGCTGGACGACGTGTTGGTCAAAGTGCGAGCCCCAGCCAATGGAAAGGCCAAACAGCACCCTCCATCACGGCCGTCGAATCAACCCCGGCACAAAGGCTCCAGCCCTCGCCAGCCAGTGATCGTGCAGAGGTCGCTAATCCCTCTGGTCGGCTGAGGAGAAGCGATCCGGATCTGAGCGAGTCGTGGCGGGAGTTGGCAGACGTCGCCGGGGCCAATCGAGGCCGTATTCTGCAAGGAACCCGAGTTTGTGGAGAGAGCCGGGTCGCCAGGCCTTGGGGCTGATCCCACCGTGTCGTCCATGCTCGCCGGGAGGGCCTGGCCAGAGACTATCTTCGGTCTTGGGAGCTGCAGAGTTGCGGCATCATGTCGCCTAAGATGCCTGTTGGGGACGAGCACCACTTTGGGCAGCGAAGCAGTAGTTAACTAGTTATCCCGATCGCATCCTGATGATTCTACCCCGTGAAGACCCCAGGGTTTACCGCAAGAATCGACGGAAGCGTACAGCCACAGCGATGTGCCAGGAGGGTTGGACGAGCTGGAAGCCACACAGCAGCAGGTTCAGCATGTGAAATAAGAGACCATTATCAGATGCAAATCTGCAAGACACACTCTGTTGCAGGGGACGTTGTCTTCATCATCGTGCGTGAGGGAGGCTGAGCATTTCTGCAGGCCAGAGTCGAATCCGTCTTTTCTTTTCTGCAAGAACGCCTTGGCCCAGCACAGTACGAGTGTTCCATGTGATGGAACGTGTGGAAGCAGGATGTTCTACAACCCGCAGATGAGATTGAATGACGCCAGTTGACTGCATCGCAGAGCAAAAGAGGTTTGGCCTTTGCCAACCCAGCAGAAGCTGTGCAACCACACAGACCTACCCTGAGCATCAGTTGATCAGGTAACTATATGGGGCATTATCACATCGACAGGATGGATTCTTGCGACTGAAGGTGGCTGGTCATCTCCTTCTTCTCTGTGTCTAATTACACTGTTTGTACCGCGGCATCAATCTCTCCTTTCTAGGTCACTCTTTTGAATCAAAGACGTGCCTACAGATTCTATATCGTGACCAGCCTGTCATGTTAGGTTACAAGAAATCACACAAAGAGACTATGTAGTGTGATGAGCCATCCACATGGAATAGCGTAACTTCAAGGTCCTATAATCCGCTTATCCTGCTCCTTTCTAGTTTGAACTGCCACGGCTTTATGCTCGTGGCTAAAACCTCTCATTCCTCTTTTCGCGGGTTCAATAATCATATCACTTGTCTAATCTTGCATTATCCGCTTCAACCTTTGTCTCAGCGACAGTGTACGGCCACACCTGCAAGATCTGGTCAACCATAGCTTTGTACCCTTCTGGCTTGGGATGGAAAAGCCGTCCATTTTCGGGGCCGAACGGGTCAATCTTTCCAATGGGCCGGCGTAAGATTGGCCTTAGTTTTGGATAATTTGCATGGGTAATGGCAATCGCACAACGCGCTTGGGCATCCCAGTCGCCAACAGCAACTTTCGAATCCTCCTTGCAGGTCTCTGGATCGATCGGATCACCGCCTCTCAAGCGAAACCGCGAGTCAAAGAACCAGGTATCCGGGTCTGTCAATCCCTTGCGAGGACGACAAAACCGATGCGAGTCGAATCTTGGGTCCCAGTTAACCAATATGACTCTTTCGTTCTTTTTCCAGCTAATAATCTGGCCAATTCTGTCGTTGAGCATAGTAGATATCTCGTTTAATTCGCGACGTGTTTTGACGGTCAATTTTGGCTGGTATCCTAACCAGTAACCAAGGCTTTTGGTATTGCATTCTTCTGTGAGCGCCGTGTCGAAGAATTTGCCATATCCGTTCGCGAAGATTCGAAACGATCTTGCAGGATTTTTCCTCAGGATCGCGTCCAAAACCAGGCTATACGTCTGCCAAAACTCCCTGCTCAAGATTCTTGCCCGTGCAACTTTCTTGACCGTTTCACAATTGGGCGATGCAGGTCCATAGAATTGAAACAGGCAGGCGTTGAGAAGATCGAAGAAGCCAATGTCATTGCCACCAATTGATAGCGTGACGAAATCAGCGTCTCTTAAAGCATTGATTTGATCCCAAATGTGCATCGTTTTGCTGGAGCCGCTGAATGTAGTGACTCCCCAGTCCTTCTTCATCACCGCTCCGGTGCAAGCAAGAAACTGCATTGAAAGAGTGTGGCCCCCAAAGATGCCGGAATTATTCAGTTGAACAGGGTAGCTTCCGCTATATCTCCAACATGTTTCGTCAAGCTGTTTTCCGGCGCCTACCCCGGAAGCATATGAATCGCCCAGCGCAGCGAAGCTCTTGATGACAAGCGGAATCTTGGGTGCGATTTGTGGGTGATTTTCGGTTGAATGATTGCGATTATCAACGTCGAGTGCCGCTATACCAACAGCCAAAGCAATAAGCAAGCGTATGATCCTAGAGAAACAACGTGTAACCAGCATGTCTTCTCTGAGCGCATTTAGGCCCCAGCGGTGGAAAAGGGAGAACAAGGTAGATCAGGACATGATGCAGTTGCCGTCAAAACATTCTTTGGAAGCGAGCTGAGACACACGACATCTTTCATCTTGATAATTAGGACACTGCTGGCGTTTCGACTCTTCAATGGGCATGCAGCGAATGTACCATTGAGAGGAAACATGCGGGAATCCAGCTGCAATAGACTCGCAGACAAAAGAGAAGTCTCGATAGGAAAGCCCATCGCGATGCCTTCCTCGGTTCTGGTTCCTTTCAATGACTGGGAAGCAACATGCTCGACCGCAAGAAGCCAGCACGTCAGGCTCAACCAAAGCAAAAGATATTCGGATCTGACTTTCTTCAGCCAGCAAGGTTGTTGCGATGCCCCGGGGAAGCCATTCCTGGGTCCATCAATACGCCTTGGGGTCGCTAACTCGCAGGACACTGTCAGCAATTCAGTAGATCTTGAATCCTTATTATCAAGGCTGGGTGAAGTCTCTCTTGTTTCTAGGGTTTGCTTCAGCAGTACAGTAATGTTATCATCCTGTGGACACGAAGATGTGTTGATGGGGATGGGTATTCAAAACTTCTCTTCATACAAATCCGGCTCGAATTCTCGGAGAGGCTTCCAACCAGGAGGCTTGGTCGAATACTTTGGCAGTTCATAATGCCCTTCGCAGCCTTTTTCAGTGCAATTTGCCAGATTACAGAGCCCAAAACCTTTGCAGTAACAGTGCCTTGCGTCTGGACAAAACACCGCAGGTTTCCCGAAAATCACTAACGCGCAAATGGTTAGAAAGTCTTGACCGGTCCCAAAATGAATGACAGTATTGCTTACTATGCCATGAATACTCCAGGATGCGCCCGCTAATCGAGTCTTCTAAAGGTGTGCGAAGAAGCCAATCTCGATAATGTTCATAGTCGCTACGAGGCCGCGCTCGAACTCTTTCCGCTGACACGGCGAACTGAGCGCAGCAACCAGCAGCTATCACCTCTGGAACATCGCCTTCGCGAACTTTGTCTGGAAACAATTCGGAATACGCTTCCCAAAAGGCCAAACTAGTCTGACGATTTTTATCCGTTTCGTTGATACGTATTTCGGCGGGACAGCCGAGTATCCACGCGCACCGCAAGCTCACATAGCCTTCAGCTAAGACATATGGCATACGAAGGCTAGAAATAACAGTAGCGCCGTCTTTGTTTGGGTCGTCGTTATGCCACTGGTACTGCTGGCCGTGGATAAACACCAAGACGTCTGGCAAGTCATCGTAATGGTCTATCAGATACCTGGGAGCAGCTCAGCATCCGAGATGATCACTCCTGGCTCCGTGCTGGGATACTCACGTCAAGTACACCATCGCCTCTCTGCCTTTGTTTTTGGGCACAGTTAAACTCGCATTTCTATTGTCGACGATGTATCTTGAAACCGGCCAATCCGGCAAACGCTTCCTTACCCAGCCCACATCGTCGTCCTGGACACTTGCGATGATCAAATGCTTCTCTTGACCCTTTTTGGACCACGGGCTGCGAACAATGCCAAATTGCCGCGGCGCATGGAAGTAAATAAGGGTCAAACATAGAAAAAACACTGCTATTGTGAGATGAGAGCGACGTAAGTGATACATTGCTTAGATATGTTTTCTCCGACGGTGAGCAACTGGCAATCCGCGCACACCGTCAGGCATTGTTTGGCATTCGCTTGTAGAGTTATAACCCTTGCAGGACTCTGGAATTGTTGAATCAATGTCTCATTTTCAGGGTATGACAGAAAACGGATCCCTGGAGGAATAACTAATCCCACTTAAGGTCAACCGTTACCCAAAAATTGGCCCTTCACAGAATGAACCAATCTGTGAGCTTGTTATAAACGACCTGAGGCATTCACCAATTCTGAGCCCTAGGTGACTACTAAACTCAGGCTTTTTCACTTAAGCCGGAAGAGTGCGGCTGGTTAACCCTGGAATATATCATTGATGCATAACTAATTCACCCTGGGCGAACCTAGCCCCTTTAAACTAGATTTGAACATTCTATATCTCTCTGTCAACTCAATCTCATATGCCATTCATGGTCTTCGTCATGTTAGGAAAAATGTCACAAAAAAGCAAAACACAATAAACAAATCATACTTATCAACATGAGAAAAATATTTAGGCATGTTAACATGCAGAAAGAGCAGCAAAAAGAAGGAGGATAAACACCGGCTCCAAGTCAGATAGATTGCAAACCTCGACGCCGCCTTGATGAGTAGGATCGAATGCTTGTACTCCAGGCATATGTAGTCGCTCATGCAGGCCAATTTGAAAAAAAAAAGAAAAGGTTGGAAGACATTTGTGTGGTCTCTCTGGTATATATTCAGTACCCCAGCTCAAGGTGTGAGAAAGGAATATTTCAATCGGATGGGACTCATAAGTGTTAGATTGTGTGCTTTTTATATTTCTATGATAAAAAGTCAGCGAATAACCCATAGAGAATGCACGAGTCAAAGGCAAATCAAGAGACTTAAACGTTTCGGAGTGACAAGTACTCACATCTTCGATCCTCCGCCGATTTTCTGGCTCTATGGTATTGTTTGCCCCAAGAAAAGCTCGCGAAACTGCTTTTGATGCGCCAATCGCTGGGCGGAAGACCACAGTTGATGCTCGCCCCATCACCCGCTTTGCCGCTTCAGTGGCGTTGCGACTCTCCATAATTTCCCCAGGAACGGCAACAATAACATCGCGTGTAAAGAGCAAGTCCCGTTCTAAGCTGGCATATGCTCCTCGCAAACCTTGGGCAACTCCAAGTGGTTGATCCGCATACAATGATATCCGTGGTCTCTCGCCTTCATCCAAATGATTATCGTCCCGGCGGCCATCAGAGAGCGGAGACTGGGTTGGTAGGCCTCGGGGTGAACTGAGGAAATCCTCTGCACTCTCGAGTGCCGTTTGAGTCCCGATTGCCAGTTTCGCCCCGAGTTTTAGTAGTTCGCTTGTGGTTGTCTTTGCGAACTGGATTGCACCCTTTTGCACGCTGCGGACGATTCGTCCGTCTTTCTTGTACTCACGCATCGGAACGAGAACAAGATCTTTGACGCCACTGCCAATGTTCACAAGTGATCTAACGGGCGCTATACCCGCCAGGACGGTCGGCAGTTGGTTTGCCTTGATGTCCGGCATCCAGATATCATTAAGCGTTTGGCCAAGTCGATCAAATCCTGAAACCCCATAAACGATGACATGTCGGAGGACCATATCCGCTTCGTCAAGAATAAAGAAATTCATGAACTCGGTAGTCCGGCCCGATCTCAATCCAGCGTAGTCGACTCGTTTTGGCTTGAAATCGAGCCGTACACGAATAGCGTTCACTTCGACACGCTGTAGGAAAGGGATATCTTCTGGAGCTTGGCTAGTGGCGGACTCGTCTTTGAACTCGAAGAACCGGCTCAGAAAATCCAAGGCATCTTGGTCAACATGCAAACGTAACGGGAGAACAGTTGCCTATGAGTACATTAGTACAACCCCTTCTACTGAAACCAATATATATAATTACTTACCTTCAAGACGATTTCCGAGGCTGCAAGGTCCGGTACTGGTTTCACGTTCAAAATCTCTAAATGGACCATGCTGGTACCAATTTCGCGTTCGCCTACATCGTGCATATAGGTTGCGAACTTCTTCCATGTCGAAGTCGGGACGTGATCAAATATCTCCAGGTCTTCTACTCGAACATCTAAAGAACTCTGGGTTTCCCCTGAGCCCGGCGGAAAGACGATCAAATCCGCCGAAATGCCTTTCAATTCAAAGGTCATCTTATGGTGCTTGCTTCTTGCCAAACGCAACTTTTCCCGCTTTGCCCCTGATGTGTTTTGCATTGCAGTGACGGTGGTGCTAGTCGCATAACTCATAGTCTCACTCGCCAAGTCATCGATATTCCGATTGATATCGTGCGAAAGTTCCCGGGGATCCCCATTGGCAGGTATCCCGATGTAGACGGAGTTGAACAAGAAGTCGCCAATCACGGATTCTTCCTCTTCATCAAAATCGGCTGACAGTCTATTTCCAGGTCTCCTCGCAAGCTTTTCTGCTGCTTTCATTTGGACGTCCTTAACAGCTTTTGATATGGTATCCCTTGTGTGCTGCCAGTCATACCCGTCATACAAATTCCATATAACGTGAACATCCCGAACTCTTACTCGAAGTGGACTATCGCGGAATTTAATATCGGTTGCAAGGTTGTAGGTGTTGCGAGTCGAATCCCACCGGTGGGCAGTGCCATTAACTGCCGACTTTTTGGCGAAGTGGTCGTCCTGGAAATCAAGCTTCGGTATGCTAGAAGACATCTGGGCTTCAGAATGGAAGCTGCTGAGCACTTGACTGGCGCCCATGCTACTAAGCCCTCTTTGCTGCTCAGAATCTTCATGGGAAGGGTAAAAGACGCTGACGTATTCGACTTCTTCGGCACCGTCACCATCCACTTCAATCTCATCCTCGGGTGGGGAGGCATCAGAACCCGCATCCGTTGCGAAGGCGTTTCCAGAGAGGGAATTTAGCATGTCCTCGAGTGGCATAATCTCTGTTCGGTATTTTCGCTCAGTACTAGTAGGGCGCGAGAGTGGCGTCAGTCCACCCAGGATGGATATCAACGTCTGGGTGGAGTCGGCACACGTTTCCAAAACAAGTAAATCATCCCGGACCTCGACATCCAATGACTTCTCACCTTCAGCGTCGAGCTGCATTACTTTGACGAGGACCGATGCGGACGAGATATCGCAGACAGGGACGTATCCCATACCCTCCAAACAGTGAATTTGCCCAGCCCTAACTCCGCTAGGGCGCCGGCTCCGGTAGTTTTCCGCTGGCCCAGCACTCCCGACGTCATCAATAAGCATGATAGATGCCTTGCGAATATCGAGTGAAGCTTCGGAGGGCTTGCTTTTATGGAGGGCACCATTGAAAGTTGCACGGGTCAAAATAACAAGAGCTTTGGCTGGCGGCTTGCGAGGATTCAGTCCAACTATGCAGTCTTTCAACCCTACCGATATCTTTGGCGGTGTAGCTAATCTGTGGTTAAATTCTGAGTTGATTGACCCTGGCTCTGAAATTGGGCTGTGTGCATCAAGGTCAGCCAAACTCAGGACAGACTGAGCCATATGAACCGCAACATCTTCACCAATCAATGCTTCGCTCCCTCCAAGAATCGCAGTGACAAACGGAACTGTATATTCCACCCTCAGGTTGTATAGTTTCACTTTGACCGTTGGATCCATATCATCAGCAATGAATCGGACCATAATCATAGGCAAAACGTCTGCTGTTCGCGGCGCTCCGATATCTTCAGGTATAGCTTCGGCGACTAACTCTTCGCTACCATTTCGAACAACCGTAATGGCCGAAATTCGGGTAGCAATGAGTGATGGAAAAGTAACATAAGCTGCTTCAATAGTCTGCGAGATTACGCTTATGTCGCCAACGTCACGGTTCACATGAATTTGTCCTTCGAAATTTTGAATTAGACCAAGAATAAGGAGGCCAGGCCTGTCGTCCTGAGGCAAATATTTTGCAACCGTGGCGAGTTTAGCGAGCTCTGAACTGAGATGGGTCAAGGGTTGCAAAGTTGCAGGGCTAGGGAGGGTGAGATTCGCATGGTCAACCGTTAAACGGATAACAGCACCTTGTCTTCGCTGACGAAACAGAGTATCAAGCATTATATCGTCATCGTTATCATACTTGTCTTTCGATGGCGTTAAAAGCGCAAGCAGCCGGTCTAGATCACTTTCCTGGGGGCCGTATAAGTACATGAATCTTAGATTATCAAGGTCAAAGGAAGCGGATGAATCCGAATGCCCTTGTCTGAGATGAGGCCCGCTAATGGTAGCTTTGTCAATTTGGAGTGCGATATACTCGGGTCTGCTCAATAGTTTCGCTGCAGTGGTCGCGAGCTGAACCGTACAGTGTTCGCCGATAACTCGCAACACAATCCCACCTATGCGACAAGTCACCTTCACCGCGACATTATTTGTCTTCGGTCGTGGAGTTGGAACTGCATCAGCAAAATGTACACCTCGGGGTCGAGGGGGCGGACACGGCTGTCCGCCCTTAACGGTGGACGCAGACGCAATCGAGCTTCCTAATTCGAGTACGGTGCTCAACCCTCCAAACCAGCCTAGCATTTCGTCAAGCTTCTGCAGGTTGAGCGAAACGCACATTGGAAGAGTCGCGGGTTTAATTATGATAGATTCAGCAGACTTAATCATTTGCAACGAGATATCACCGTGTCCAGGGGATCTAATGTCCCTAGTAGATTCACGCATTTTCAATCTCTCGTCGAAAGAAATAATATCCTGTGACATATGCCCAAGGACAAACTTCATGATTTTGAGATGCACCTTTGTCGTGTTTCCAGCGGCCGCAAAGTCAAAGATGATTTTAGACAAGGTCAAATGCAAAATAGTACCTTCGATTGGAATTCCACTCGAAAACTGATACGGCGGTGATGTCGAAATAGGATAAGGATGCGCTGCCACACGCTCCAAAAATTTGAAAGAACAGGAGGCTAGATTCAGACTCACAAACAAAGGCGACGATTCTTCGCCCGTTGGCTCTGATCCTTTGGGGTCACTTTTCGTTGACGCACACACATCAGCAAACTGTTGGCCCATTTTTAACAGGAGCCACCCTGAAGCTATATCAAATTTAGCAGACAACGACGTTACATCTATTTCAACGGCCCGTGCTCTCTGAGAATCTGTTAATCCGTCAAATTCTTCTGATCTTTGACTCCCAGCAGTTTGGCGGGGTAGAGCCGGATGCCGTAGTGATGCAACAGAACTAACAGAGCCTCGTCTGAAGGTACTCTGAGTAGAGCGAAGTCTGGAGTATGGAAGCATATTAGGAGCCATAGAGTCCGCTAAGCTGGACGTTGAATCCGCCATGTGGTCAGTAGGTTTGCTATCAGCGGCAGAACTTGCGGCTTTTGAATCATCCGGGCTATCTATAACGGGTATCCATAATATTGCTTTATCAATGGAAACGAGCTCTTTTGCAACACCAGAGAAGCCACCAGGTGAAGACGAAAGCCCGGCGCTTCTTTCATTTCCTTCTGGTGGGCTTTCAGTAATGTTTTGTAGGCGTACCGGGTCATCAGAGGATTCCCTAGTTTGCTGATTGAAGGTATCACTTGTTGCTTCTTCACCATCTGCCAGCGAAGCTAGATTTGCAGAACCCACCTTTTCTCCGGAGATTTCCTCGGACGTAGAAGATCCCCACGCACCTGGCATGTCGGGACTGGAGTTTGTAGACGCATAACTCATTGCACTCATGTACATACTTTGGGCCTCTTCATGCGTAAAAATTCTGGAAGCAGATAAATCTTCCACTTGGGTAGGTGTATGGCCTGGGGCTGAGGTGGTACCGGATGCTTGTAACCTTGAAACAGGCTCATCAGGGTGGGTAGCGGTTGTGTCGGAATCTTCGTCTAGATCTGTATCTTGAACAGGGGAATTGTCTTCGCGGATTGAATGGTACATATAATGCTCTGGAGAGGAGCCAGGCGATTGGGGAGTCTGCGCACGGGGAGTTTGGGCTTCTCTAACAGGCGTGCTTGGATCCCCTGGTAGAATAGTCGAATCCTCGATATGGTCATCAAATTGAGATTGTAACGCTTCTTCCAAACATACTGGGTTGTCCAAGAAGCGCTCACCATAGTGACTGTCGGACATCTCTGAATAGAATTGATCGTCTCCATCGTCAGATGCTGCATCGGAAAATCTGCCTCCGGTCGAGTACGCTGAGGAATCAAGTTGGCAACTCTCGTTTCCGTACGTGTCATCCGTAAACTGTGAGGAATGCATGGACGGGTCAAGAATTGTCGATTGGGCCATATCTCCACAGGAATCGGAGCTAGACGAGGATGGTTCGGGGGATCGGGTTCGCAAAGGCGTGTGTGAGGGTTTAGAGTGTGTTGTAGACTCGGAGGCGTAGAAGCGGGAGTAGTTGGAAAATACTTCTGCATCCGAAATGATCATAGCATGAATTCCGGCCAGAGACACCTTGCGTTTTCCAATCTTCACGGAAGGATCATCCGAAGCTGATGTAGCAACACCCTCAATAGCGATATCTTGAACGGTGAACAGCCCCGAAACCGCATCTCTTCTTTCGTTCTTGTCGGTTCCATCACGTCCTACTTCCATATCGACCCGCAACGAGACATTGGCAATTTTGAGCTGCAATCGATTGACTACGCCTTTCAGGAATCCAGCCACAAAACTAGGTAACGATACTCCGTCGTGCAAACCGAGCTCTTCTTCACCATCCTCGCTGGGAGAGTCTGAGTTCTGCGTATGCTGTGATTGTGACATCAGTGCAGCTTGTAGCTCCTCCGTCTCTTCTTTCGGCTCTGATTCGAGGAAGGACTGTGCAAGATCTGTTGTTGACGGCAAGGAGCTGTGGCCGCTTTGTTCATCGCCTCCACAAGCCCCGCCACTGCGGCTGGGTGAGCTGGCATTTCGGCCGGATTTATCGGGAGACAGCTTCAGCTGGAGATCTATACCCTCAACCTCGACAATGATCGCACTATTGTAGATATCCGCAGGTATGGTCACACGAACCAGAGATACGTTGGCCTTTGTAAGGACGCATAACGGAGGTAGGTTCAAAGTCGACGATAGCTTCTATAGTCGGCACGCCATAGCGTATTAGCATTTAGAGGTTCTTAGTTGAGCAAGAGGATCAAGACCGCCCGTACCTCTAGTCTTAACCCGATATCCCGCAACTCAAACGTGCTCTTTCTGACCCCAGGCTATACCCAGGCTATCCAAATCTAAGGCATCTGTGTCCACCAGTTCCAGGCGCGACAAAGCATATCTCAAGAGCCGCTTCTGGAAGAATGATGGAAGGAACGCCGACATAATCGTTGAATCAAGAAGTTGTGCGAGCCTGAGGGGCCTATCCAAAGGTGATCATCAAACGGTTTTCATGCCATGGCGATAGTTCCTAGAGGACGGTGTCTGGTTGTATACGGTCGTGTCCCTGCCAGTGAATAGGAAAGGTCAATGTGGTGAGTGGCGTGAACTCCCAAAAAAAAGGCCGGCCGCCGATATGGGATGGGAGCCTTAAGAAGAGTGGGCTACCAATAGAAGGAAATCAGAAAGCACAAAGGGTCTGGTAAGGGACAGCGAAGCCATGGATGGAGAAGAGAGATTTAGGTCTCCCTCTGGTGGGCGTTGCTCTGTTGTTGATGCATGATTTGCGGAACAATCAATGTCACTTACCTTGGGTTCAACCATGCCGGTTAAGCTCAACGCAGTCACGGGATGAAGTCAGTTCAACAAACCAAAGGCCGGATGAAGAGGACGGTTGGGCTGGATGCCTGCGGAATTCAATCATTTCTGACTGCCCTTGGTACCCGGAATCTAAAGCAAACTGTATCTATATAACACCTCGAGATGAGATGGAAATGCCCATGTCATCATTTGGGCGGGACGCTGGGACAGTTCCGCAATCCGATCCCGAACTCTGTTCCTTTTTCCTTTGACATCACCAAACCGTCAAGGGTTCAACGGCGACCATGGGACTTTGATACGATCGAGTTTTGGCTCGCAAATAATCATCTAGCATCGTTTCACTCATGATTCATTCTCTCCGGGGACCTCTGGACCGAATTCCAACACTACCCACTGACAGAACCGTTCAAACTCCACGTTCCAATCCTTGAGCCGAGCAGCCTTCACGCCGCTGCCTGTTATTCCGTCCTTGATATCTTTAAGCCATCCCGCCTGGTTTTGATCCTCGAAACAGCTCCATCGAATGGAATTTTCTGCCATAGTCGCAATCCCGGAAAGTCCGGTGTTCTCGAGTCCGTAGAGGACCTGGCTAAAGTCATGCGTGAGCCCATTCTTGCCACAGCCGAGCGTGGCTGGATCGTCGTTACATAGAGCTACCGGAACTCCTCTAGCTAACAAAGCTGGGAGAGGATGCGCCATGATCGAGCTGGTTAGCCTCAGGATTTCGTTGGAGATGGGACAACACTCGATAAGAATCCTCCTTTCCTTCACCAAGTCAATCAAAAGCGGGTGCTTATAAAGGGAGAAGGCATGCCCTAGTCTCCGAGTGCCTAATAGAATGGCATCATAGAGATTCCGGTCCGTTTCATCACCATCTCCTAAACATTCTCCGGCGTGAAAGAAAAAGGGAATTTCCACCTCTTCAAGAGCACATTGTTTCTTGAACCAGAACAGTAAAGGCACTAGATCAGCAAGGGGCCTGCCCTCGTCTTCTTGTCCAACTAAATCAAATCCTGCAATAAGGTCAGGGAACTCCCTCTTTGTCAGGATGCACTGCTTCATGCTCTCCGCAATCTCCCTATTCGAGTATCTTCGAATGGTGGTCCAGATCATCCTAGCCCCATAAAATCCTTTTCCAGCTTCAGAACTCTTGAACTTCTCGACCTCTTCATCAAAGACTTCAAAAAGCTCGATGTAATCTTCTTCAGCGGTGTCACACTTGTCCCGTCGATATTCAAAGTCAAACGCCAACCGAAATTCAACATATCGGATCCCATCTTCATGAAGCTCGGCCAACATCCGTTGCAAGCAGGCACGGAAGATAGGTTCGTAATACAGAATCGAGTCCACCACTTCGAAAGTTCGTCCAAAGATCTCCCAAATTGCATCTATGCCATGGTGATGATTGAGTGAAGCCTCATAACCAATCGTACATCGGCTTTTTAACCATTCGCGAAACCCTTCTCTGCCCTCGTCAGGAAACGTAGCGGCAACCTCCTGCACAGGCAGAAATGTCAAAGATTGATAATCCCCATCCCAAAGCGTAGGAGACTGGGAACCTGAGGGTGGCGCCGAGAAGTATTTGAATTGTAGCGAGCTGACCTCGAGATCCCTTTTCGACACCAAAGGGCTTGAAGCTGCCATATACATTCCAGGCAGAGACATGACTTGGTCAATAAGAAGGTCCAAGTCAACCATCGCCTCTAAATGCCCATGTAACAACGCGCCTTGATGCCTCGTTAGTTAACCAAGCCGCGCAACCACAAATCAGAGCACAACTCACCTTTCGGCATCCGTTTCATAATCTTCCACAGGTCAGTTTTCTCCATCCGATCTCTCGCCAACCGAAACATCATCCCCGGAAACAAGATCTCATCGCCCAATTCGTTTTTGACATCCCTGGTCCATACATCCCTCAGCTCTTTAGCCCGGATGTATTCGACAATGCGACAAGCCTCCCTCACCACGGGCGACAGGGCATTTCTAAAATGTACGTCTATGTATACATCGTTAGAGACTCGACATCTTGTTAGTTAGATGATTTTTATCAAAAACGTACCGTGTCTCTGTTTTCTTTCCTCTTCAATAAGTGCCTCTCGGCCCTGGAGGTATTTCTGAATAAACGCATCTTCGAAGCGGGGAATGCCCTCTTCGGCTTCCCAGTCATCAGCAACATGGCTTTTAGCTGGCGGCGCCATGGATGTTATTTCTGTGCTATTTGGTTTCTCCTTGCAAAACCGCCGGAGCTGATTTGTTTTATGTTGCTAGTATCTACCTTGTGCCTTTGCACCTGCTTCCACCTGCATCAAGACCAATGACCTCGTATAACTATGATGGATGACTGTAACTTACTTGCCCTATGTCACTTGCCTCACTAGTTAGTTCATTAACTTTAACTACTCCATAAAGATTTCTGTCACATTCACTAACTAGTTACTACTTCATCTATTACAATCTGTCCTTATTGAATTTCTAGTTGATGTAAACATGGCAGATTTTACAACAAAAACGTATTTCAACCGAATCCCAAATAACGGTTCTATCCGCGCCTTCGCTGTAACCTTGAACCCCCCCATATATATGAAGGAAGACGCTCTCGCTCTGGTAATAACTACAAGTCTATACGGATTGGCCTCCAAATGCCGTTCACGCGCATAGTACCTTCAACAAGACGGCCTTATATTTTTGGTCCCTGCGCTCGCTCGACCAGCTTCATTTCCAAAGCTCTTAACTCAGCACGTTTGATCTTCCCGCTAATCGTTTTCGGCAAAAATCCAGGTTCCACAAATTGGATGCGCCTAGGATATTTATACGGGGCTGTCTGTGCCTTGCAAAAGTCCTGCAGTTCCTGGACAAGAGCCGTAGGGTCATGAGATTTGTATTCGTCCTGCAGCACGATAAAGGCCTTCACGACTTCAACGCGGGCTGCATCTGGGGAAGCAACGACGGCGGACTCTACGACAGCAGGGTGTTTCTTTAGAACGGACTCGACTTCGAAAGGGCCTTTTTTATCTAGGGTTAGCATAATGTATTTCTTTTAGAAAAAACCGGCAATGAAAGATACTAACCAATCCGATAACCCGAAGAGTTTATAACATCATCAGATCGACCAACAAACCAAAGGAATCCGTCTTCATCTTTGTATGCTCTATCTCCAGTTAAATACCATGAGCATGTCTTTGCTTGGCGTACAGGACGAAAAACGGTGCCGTCAGCTTGCAAGTATCCCGTGAAAATATTAAGGGTTCTGGATCCTCGCGGAGTGGTAGTAGCAATGGCAATTTCTCCTTCTTCCCCTGGGGGTGATTCTTCGCCTTCCTGGTTGATCACGGTCAATGGAACACCAGGTAAGGGTTTACCCATCGAACCATATTTGACTTTATTCCCTTTGATATTTCCGCAAACCAAGGTCGTCTCCGTTTGTCCATAGCCGTCTCTGATCTCGAGCCCACACATTTCTTTCCAGGTCTTGATTACTTGGTCATTCAGCGGCTCACCGGCACCAACGCAATGCTCAAGGTTCATTGGTGCGTTCTGGCGGAAATACGCCTGCCGCGAAGGTAATACAAATTGGCGATATGCTGTTGGAGGAGCACACAGAGTAGTAATAGGGTAGCGATGAAGATTGTCGAATGCCTGCTCTGGGTTGAACGGGCCAACAGTTTCTTGGATGAAAAGTGCCGCTCCACAATTCCAGGCGCCAAACCAAGACCAGGCTGCTTTTGCCCAGCCTAGATACAGTGTCTTGGGTCAGTATGGGAGCAGAAGTGTCACGCTGCAAAGAGGGAAGAATACCTTGTTCCGACAAGTTCCAGTAAAGCTTTCCGGGTTCCAAGCTCAGCCATAACCGACCAGTAAGAACATGGGCTTCATTGTGCATGCAATGTCAGTCACTTATTTCATACCAGGTAAAAAGCTGGCACTCACCTAAGGGGTACGAAACCTGATCATGGACCACCATTTTCGGCATTCCAGTTGTTCCAGAAGTGAAATAGATCATCGACGGGTCGGACCACTTAGTCCTGCTAGATTCATCATTGAATAAGAATCCTTCTGGAATATTTTTCAACTCCGATGCGTATTGCGAAACATCTTTAAGCGGGGGCCCTGCGGCCTGGAGAATGATCCGAACGTCGCGGCAATTCTTGCGCACGGCATTGAACTTCTCCAAACTCACATCATCTCCGATAAACACCGTAGCTCCTGAAGCTCGAGCTCGATACTCGATATCATGGGCCACGGCTTGGGTTGTGCAGGGGCACACAACAGCCCCGATACGTATAATTGCAGTGGCGATCTCCCACCTTGACAAACTCGTTAGTAGTCATTCTTCGAGAGGGTATAACTTCGAACCAAAGAGCGTTGTCTCTTTGCTACCTCATACCAAGCTGGCACACGGGGAAGGATGATGATCACCCGATCACCTTTTTTAACACCAAGACGCGTCAGAAGCTCAGCGGCTTGGTGCGAGCGCTTCGAGAAGTATGCGTAATCCAAAGACAATGGATTGCGACCTTTCTGGTCGACCCAGAGCAGCGCCTGTGGTGAGGGACGGATTGCAGCCCATTTATCGACTACATGAAGGGCAAAATTGAAGTACTCCGGACAAGGGAGTTCATCGGGGAATGCAGCCATCACCGGCTTAACTAAGTCAAAAATCAGGAGCTCTTGTACCTGACGCTGGCTTCACAATAACAAGGATCAAACTTTTCGACTTGAGTTAAGAGAATTAACCTGAACGGTCAGCTCAACTCCATGGCGTCGTTCAATGCACGCAATTTGCAGCCCATCGAATCGGATATGTTTCGCCGGACACCCCAAGACTTGCCGTTGGAGATGCTGCTATTACCGCGGGGTAAGGCCTGGTTGCCGAGATGGATATATGGAGGCGGGGGGCTTATTCAGCATGCTAAGCATCACGTGCTCCGGCGACTCCGCTTCGAGCCTGAAACGCCAAGCTTTGTACCCGTTTGCCACGATCAAAGTCAGCCCGCAGAAGCGTTGAGTTGCGGACAAGCCGGAGGAAGTGCAACGGTAGAAGCCGGTTGATACGATCAATGAGAACAGCTCGTACGCCAAATTTCCCGTTCTCGCGTGCCCTTGTGAGGTTTGAGCGAGAATACTGAGAAGCTAGCTTAGTCTGTGCGCCCAGACAAGCCTTTTTTGGTGTGAACCTTGTTTTTGAGCTTCCACATCACAAAACTCAAAGAGGATTCATGGTGATAAACAATATCTGAGCTCAGCCTGTGGTATTGATCGCGAGAAGAAAATACCCTCTAAAAATAATGCGGATGTCAATGCCACATGCTTCGAGGTTGTCATTGCAGCAGGGCATGGCACGGGTCCAGATCCCAGACCTTGGACTCCCGTCGCGCGTCGATGTTCCCAGATCGAGTTGACCTTGGGATGTAACCTTGCCTAGTGGAAGCGCACAACAAGTCGTCATTGGCTCAGCGAGAATAGGATCGACAGAAAGGAAGAACCTTTCAACCTTGTGGATCCCAAGCATCGAACAAAAGTGTCCTTCAGAGACTGTGATCATCTTCAGCCCTTCGGGAAAATGTTTTGTAGATATTCTGTACTCCATACTCCGTACACTCGTCGCATATTTTGCCCCTTCTAAAGCTGTATCACCAATGTAACCGGCGGCTCATGTATGTGCCGGTGAACAAGAGTGAATCCGAGTGGCGAAGACAGGGTCCACGCCAGCAACAAGTATATACGGCAAAGAGAGCATTGTTTTCGGCTGGAGATCTTCCTTCGCATCTTCTTAACACACTTGCCTTTATATGCTCCATATTTTCTGCTCCAGACTGTCTGGCTTCTTTGTAGCAGCTTCGTTAGTGCCCGGTATCTTTCGGGTGTCGAGCAATATTAGCTTATGATATTTGAATTCTCAAGCAGCGAGAACCAAGTTTCCAGGATTCCCGAGAAGGGCATCTGTGCGTAGAGTTCTCGATCTTTTTGGCTCTTTGGGTTCAGGCGCGGCACATTGTGGGGGTTGTGGCCAACCCATAGCTTGCACCAAGGATATATAATGTTCGCAGCTCCCAGAGAGCTTGCTGTGATCATGCGAGGTTCCCTAGCCAAGACAATTGACACATTCCAACCCTTCCACTTTTCAACAAACTTTCTAACCGGTGCGAACTGCTTTGAACACAGGTGCCACGATGGAAGTATTGAAGTCTTCGACTGACCAAAGGCGGGAGAGCGGAGAGACACCAAGTATACGCGCCAAAGCGTCGACATTTGATCCTGATCATCATTGTCACGACCCGCACAATTGCCCGCCAACAGAAAAGGACGAAAAAGGGATGTTGGCGAAGGAGTTGGAGGATGCCGCTGCATCCAGTGACCGAAAGGCAGAGACCACTGGTAGTGACGACTTGGAAGGTGGAAATAGATTCAAGGGATGGTGTCGTCGACATCGTTCCCATATCCACATTGCCATTCAACTGGTCATCTGGTTGCTCTTTACCGGGTAAGTGCGACGTTAATCTTGTTGTTAAGCTTGTGTGTTCGATGGATGCTTTGCTACGCCAGCGGGATCAACCTTGGAAGTTCGAAGCAACTCCGTCAGGGTACCAGACTGAGCTGATGTTGAATATCTCAGCTGGTGGATAGCTGGGCTTATACTTCGCCGAAAGGATTTGGGATGGGTAGTCCCGTTCCTTGTTTACCTTTGCCTTACTCTTCGACTTGTATTCTTCCATATTCCAATATCCATCCTAACCAGACCGATGCGTTGGGTATGGAGAAATACAGCTCCACGTTTCGTTTCGCTGATCCCGGAAAGGTTTCAGACTTTGGCTGGCGCTGCATTGGTCGTTTCCGTCATCCTAATAGGCGCGTTTGCTTCGCCTGAATCGGCCGATAATACTCGCGAGAACCGTGCAGTTAGTTTGTTCGGCTTGGTGGTGCTGATAGCAGGTCTCTGGATCACTTCCAAAGACCGTAAAAAGATTGTCTGGAGAACTGTCATAGTCGGCATGTTGGTCCAGTTCATCATGGCCTTATTCGTCCTGCGCACCGGGGTCGGTTATGACATATTCAACTTTATTTCGTCTCGCGCAACCGACCTCCTTGGGTTTGCTAGAAAAGGAACCCAATTCTTGACTGACGAAAAAGTCCCTACTATACCCTGGTTTCTTATCACAGTATTGCCGGCGATCATTTTCTTCGTATCGTTGGTACAGATCCTGTATTACATCCACTTTATCCAATGGTTTATTGGGAAATTTGCAGTCTTCTTCTTCTGGTCAATGCGGGTGTCGGGCGCAGAGGCGGTTGTTGCAGCAGCATCCCCGTTTATTGGCCAAGGCGAATCGGTCATGTTGATTCGGCCCTTTATCAATTATCTTACCATGGCCGAAATCCATCAGGTTATGTGCTCGGGATTTGCGACGATTGCTGGGAGCGTGTTCGTCGCATATGTAGCAATCGGAGTGAACCCTCAGGCGCTGATTTCTTCCTGCGTTATGAGCATACCTGCATCGCTCGCAGTGTCGAAAATGCGCTATCCCGAGCAAGAAGAAACCCTGACAGCAGGGCGTGTCGTGATCCCAGAAGACGAAAGTGATAAACCTGTCAATGCACTTCAAGCGTTTGCAGCAGGTGCTTGGCTGGGTTTGAAAATCGCAGCCATGATCACAGCAACATTGCTGTGCATCATATCCCTTATTGGCCTCATTAACGGGTTGCTCACTTGGTGGGGTCGATATCTCAATATCAATGATCCTCCACTTACTATCGAACTTATTGTCGGGTATATTTGCTACCCCATTGCCTTTTTACTCGGGGTCCCGCGCAATGGTGACCTGCTCAAGGTAGCTAAACTGATCGGCACAAAGCTCATTGCGGTACGTCCTTAGCCTGCTAATTTCAATTCCTGCCCTCTCTTTCACTGACCTGAGTTTAGAACGAGTTTGTCGCATACAAAGCCCTTCAAGAAGATCCGGAGTACGCGAGTCTTTCGCCACGCTCCCGCCTTATCGCAACATATGCACTTTGTGGATTTGCAAATATCGGTTCACTAGGAAACCAGATAGGTGTTCTAGCCCAGCTTGCGCCTGGCCGAACTGCCGACGTAACGCGGGTCGCCGTAAGCGCAATGATAACTGGAGCCCTCAGCACCTTGAGTAGTGCCAGCATTGCCGGGCTACTGATCACCGACGAACGTACTTGAACGCGTTTGTCCGCAGTACAGAGCTAAGCTTGCACTTGTGGCGTTAGGGGTACTCGATGGGAGGCATTGAGATAATGATTATCTGCTCGCCTGCCCCCTGGAGAGGGTTATTATGGAAATGTCGATTTCCGGTATGGACATCAGATTCATGATCCGATTCAATCATTATGAATTGGAGCACTGTGTGGAAACAGATCAAGGTCTGCTAGTCAAGGCGGATAGGGATGGGACTGAACTGTTCAAAGAGACCTAGTTAACAATATCCATTTGGCCCAGTACTCAGGGGTAAGTTATGACAAAGTAATACTCGAAATGAAGTTGAAGCGATGCTTCAGGCTCAAAATAGACGTGATATCGCTGGCAAAGAAAACTGATATCAAATCAGCCATCAGACAAAGCCTCCATCTTAAACAGCAAAGCATCGTTCATCTGACATCCAGAGAACTAGTTAACTATGAGTCACTTCCAAGGCTTGGCGAGAGATCCATTTAAGGTGGACGCCATTTTAGATCGCGTCGACCCGCGAGCTAAGCAAGGCCGGGATGCTTTTGCTTGGGATGAGCTTGCTTTGGGGAATGTGGCCCAAAGGAAATCAGAATTGTGGCATAATCGCTGCGTCTGAGAGCCCTGATCCAACACCGAAATCCCGCACGCTCACCATTACGATTCATAATTCCAACAGCAAACCACAACTTGGGTACCCTGTACTAGGACACATTATCATATCAAATTGGGTTTAATATGCATGTTAGGCTGCGCGTTAACGAATAATGCTGGGTTTAAGTAAAACCAGGAGGCAAGAAAGAAAATCACAAGGCTGAAAAGGAAGTCCATAAACGACCATTATGCTCTGATGCAAAATTTGTATCCCCACTAATATCCAGGGAGCCAAATAAAGGGTCTTCCCTGAAAACTCCCATTCCAGGGGTTGACAGCTAGCCTAGGCTACCCTGATTACCCACACCAGCCCTTTAGAGATACTTGGAACGCCAAAAGGAAACCAGGCTATTGCCATATGAATATGTAATCATCAGACCGTCATACCTTCGTTGTGATCATTCAACGTCGTCAATTTCGCGGTGTCGAGCAAGCACGTTCTTCTTGAACTCTTCAGGGTTTGTATCCCACAACTCGGCAGCTTGTCCATTCAATGGACTTGTGCTGTATCCAAGCATCAAAGGTCAGTAAGCAATGCAAATGGGCTGTCAAAGTTTCGATCGGGCTTACTTGTTGGGCTCCCCTAGCAAGCTTTGAAGACTGAGAAGAACACTCTGCACATTGTACACAGCGCTCCATTTCTCTTTGAGAATATCAAGGCAGATCCGGCCGGAGAAATCGACATTGGGATGGTAGATTGGTGTTTTGAACAGCACTGCCGGGGGTGCATAGGGATAGTTTGTGGGGAAGCTGAAAGAGAGTTTGAACACCAGATTCTCGTATGGAGTGTCCGCTGGGCCATTGACGGTAGCCGTCCAAGAGAGCAGGTTTCCGTCTGCATTTGGGAAAGCGGAGATGCCCGGCGAAGGGGACATCATCAACTGCATAAGCTCGCTTTGCAATCTAGTAGAGTCCACCTCGGTTAGCAAGCCATAATAATGCAATAGACGAATCTCAGAGACTGTCAAGACAGCGGTTTATAACCAGGGGAGCTACCTTTTGGTGACGGTCTGAACCTCGGTCTTGGTAACAGCTGGATTCAGCTTCGAAGTCTCCTGCACTGAGGGCACGTCTGGAGCCGCATTCTGGGAATCCTCCAACGCGTAGTCCATTATTACTAAGAAAAAGGGAATGCCCAAGCTCCAAGAAAAGAGGAGATTCGGGATGGAATGCGTGGAGGATCAAGCTGCGACAGGGCAGAGGACTTTAGTAAGTGCACGAGATTCAACAAGTCGAGGAGGCGGCCGGAGCTCTTTTAATCCAAGTCGAAAAGCAGCTCCCCGGGGGTTGAAAAGCGGGTATGTCAAGGGAGAAAGGCGAAAAACGACGGAGAGGAAAAAGAAGCGCTGGGATGTTTGTTTACCTGGCAACGGGGGGGCTCCACTGCTGAGGTGTTATCGATAAGAGAGCGGGAAAGCCTCGCGCGGCCCCAGGCAGCTTCTCAGCCAGTCAACACAGTGCGATCAGGGTTGGCCTGAAACCGACGCGTCGCGCTCAGAATGACATGTCAGGACCAACACAATCTCCAGGGTTTTATTTGCAATCTTCAAGGACTCGAATGTCCTCAGATACGACTTACCCCTCCCGACGACAACTCTGATGAGCCAGAAGTGCTGGTGAACTGGCAATCCGACCTGGCTTCTCGTCAAACACGGCAACACCTCTGCTTTCCATGAAGCACTCACAATTGGCCCCGCTTCCGGACGACTTGCCCTTTCGCATTGTCTCGAAGACGATTGGGCAGGGTGCGTATGCCTGGTTAGTCCATCCCCTTCATCAGATCATGCACCCCCTCGTCACCTGAAATATCGGCTGACAGCGTTCACGCAGTCTCAAAAAAGCGTCTCCTCTGCACACAGACTCCCCTATATTTGCCGTTAAGTTCATACACAAGGATTATGCCGCTCGTCATGGGCGCATCACCGCAAAGCAGCTTGAGATGGAAGTGGCCCTTCACAGCCACGTCGGATCCCATGACAATATCATCGCTTTCTACAGCACCGCTGAGACTGATACGTGGCGATGGATAGCAATGGAATTAGCCGAGGGTGGTGACCTATTCGATAAAATTGAGGCCGATGAAGGCGTGGGGGAAGATATCGCTCATGTTTATTTTACCCAACTCATCAATGCCATTGGGTTTATGCACTCGAAAGGAGTGGGCCACCGAGACATCAAACCAGAAAACATTTTGCTGTCTTCTGATGGGAATCTGAAAATTGCCGATTTTGGTTTAGCAACGCTGTTCGAATACAATGGAAAAATGAAAATGAGCACGACGCTGTGTGGGAGCCCCCCATACATTGCCCCTGAGGTGATCCAGTGCAGTAACCGTGCGCAGTCACGGAGAGAGGGCTACAGGGCCGACTTGGCTGACATCTGGTCCTGCGGAGTCGTCCTTTTTGTCCTGTTGGTTGGTAATACCCCTTGGGATAGCCCTACGGACGCGAGTTATGAGTATTGTGACTATGTCAAGACGAATGCAAGACCGGAAGATGAGCTATGGCAGCGGCTGCCCTCCGCCGTTTTGTCTTTGCTTCGAGGCATGATGAAAATTGACACGTCGAAGAGATTCTCCATGGAGGATATACGACGCCATCCATGGTTCACCAAACAAAATAAATACCTTTCCTCCGACGGGCGCCTATTTAACCAAATCAACATGGCTACTACGATGTTCGAGTCTCTACATATAAATTTTAACAAAGATCCTTTATCCTTGTCCCAAAACCGGTTGACTTCTAGCCAAGATGTGACGATGATTGATCAGCCACACGAGGACGTGAGACCGAAATTTTCATCTACCCAACCCGAGGTTTCAACGGATGAGATGTTGATTGACTGGGATGGCCCGCCTCGCTTGACAACGAGCTTCCCGTCCGCCTCACAGCCTAAAAACATGCCAACCACTGGGGATGGCGCCATGTTAGCGGAGCTTCTCATGGACGAGCCGTCCATGTCCCAATTTTCTGCGACTCCATCAGTCCCATTGAGTCGGACACAGAATGCTGGAACATTCAAGGACATTATCCCTTCTTCGGGGTTAACCCGATTTTTCTCCAGTTGGCAGCTCAACTTGCTTGTACCGCGCATCTGTGAAGCCCTTCAGCTGCTTCACGTTCCGGCTTCCCCTAAATCGTCCGAATCGTCCATTCTTATCCGAGTTCGCACAATGGACGATAGGAAATGCCCACTAAGTGGGAACATTATCCTTGAAATGATCGCAGAAGGGATTGCGGAGGTTGAGTTTGTTAAAGTCAAAGGAGATCCGCTTGAATGGAGACGATTTTTCAAAAAGATAACAGTACTTTGCCAAGATGCAGTTTTGAGACCTGATATTTTGACTTAATTATGATGGATACCTAAGGCAACCCCAAGATGAAGGATTCATGATATATGATCTAACTGAGACTTGAACTGTGATCAAGTCTTGTTCTATTTTACTTTTTCGACCACTCCGTTGCCATACCATCTGAGTAGCGTACGCGAAATACACCACTTTCCCTTCAAAGAATTCAGTACCCAAGAGTCGTGCGATGACTGTGACCGCAATCAAATACCCAATACGCGATTTCTTTGGCCACGTGCATATGAAGAAGCAAGTCGCGTGGTTGCTTCCTTGGTGACAGGTCAATAGGCGTCTTGATTCCACCAATTTTGGTGAACGGGACCTTGCTGGGTAAATACTGATTCCAACGAGTCTGGTATCCTACCCCTGGATAAAGATTTGCCAAAGGATCAACGGCAACGAAGGATACCAGTGTCCTTTTGGATGTGAGAATTCGTGCTACTAGTGATTAAGCATTCGTGCTGTCGGGAATTGTGCGAGTGATGCAGATCTTATGCCCTTGAGAGTGATCACCCAATGGGATCCTTCACGGGCCTCTCCGCCCTTCTGCAGCAACTTGTCGATTATTATGCGTCGAAGACAGTCGCGATGGCCATGGATCTTAGATTTTCTGCATGGTAACCGGGGACCAGGACAATATTACGCGCTTTTGCCGATTAATAAGCTACAATCTTCTTGTCTTCATCTCGAAGAGTATTTGGGTGCTTCATGTAACTATGATAGAGTATATTTCTGTATAAAATGACAAAGTCCGAATTGTTATTGAGATGTCGAGAAACAGAGCTTGCTGCCGTTCATGTGAAGGCCACGGGGATGGATATTGTCCGGCTCCATGAAGAAAAAGCTCCGGGGCAAACAGAATGCACCATGTTGACTAACCATCACATAAACTTCCGCTTTTTCCTAGGGCGTCCCGCCACTCCGAGGTCCCCGCGTTCCGGAAGAATCCTTTGTCCATAACTGTCTCGAACCGACAAATTCGACTTTCCCCGTTTATCAATCGTCAAAGGATTTTTTGTTTTGGATACCCTCTTTCCTGTAGCATTGTTGAAGATATCGCTGCTTGCTCGCACTCCGATCTGTTCTAGCGATTGATTTTGCAACTGATTTCCACCCCGCCGCGGCATATTCTCACTGGTCGCCTGAACGAAAACACCCCCTTTACTTTCCCAAATGCCCTCCGCTATTCCAGACGGGGGTCTGCAGTTCAATACGATTGAGGAGACGATAGAATCTTTCAGTAAGTATGCGCATTGCGCTCCATTGCCAAAGTTTACGCTGTTCTGCAGAGTCGCGCAGTCAAAATGGCTATTTCGAACACCGGCTAATGCACTATACTCGCTGTTAGGAAATGGAGAATTCATCATCGTGCTCGATTCGCAGGATCGGGAAAATGAAGGTGATTTGATTATTGCCGCCGAAGCAATCACTCCCGCAAAAATGGCTTTTTTGATACGCTATTCGAGGTAGGCTTATCCCGTACCCGTTTGTCTCTCCTCTAGTCATACTCACACCTCCGCCTTATTTTTCAGTGGCTACATTTGCGCCCCAATGCTCCCGGAACTCGCATCCAGCCTCGAACTGCCGCCAATGGTCACCAACAACACAGACCCCCACCGGACTGCTTACACAATCTCGATCGACTCGAACCACCCATCTGTTACCACCGGAATCTCCGCCAACGATCGCTCTCTGACCTGCCGTTCTCTCGCCTCGGCCGACGTAAAGCCTAGTGACTTTCGGAGACCGGGACATATCCTTCCTCTCCGCGCTCGGCCCGGCGGGGTTCGTGAGCGGAGGGGTCATACCGAGGCAACGATCGATTTCTGCAGGCTGGCTGGAAAGCCGGAAGTGGGTGTGATCTGTGAGCTTGTTGAGGATGGGGATGAGGTTGCGCCGAACGTTGCGGAGAGGACGGACTGCAGCATGATGAGGAGGGACGGGTGTTTGAGGTTTGGGAAGAAATGGGGGCTGAAGGTCTGCACGATTGAAGATTTGGTGGAGTATTTGGAAAAGAAGGATAGCCCGCTTCCTGCGCTAAACGGGAAGCATTGATTGAAATGTTTTGCAAATTGGCCTGTTTATTTTGCTTCTACCATTCCGCGATTCGAGGTGGAGAATATCAATCGCATTTTTCTTTCTGGTTGTATTAACTTATGTGATTCATCATAGATCCGGCATATTATCATCTGTTGGTACATACATGCACGTTCGGAGCAGTTCTAGAATATATCCTGGGGTTATAGGGATGGAATGCACTTCTTGTGAAAACGATTTCAGAAAAATCAATCTATTGTTTCTTTGAGGAGGTAAATCTCAACTCAAGTAGCAATACGTATCCCAATGCAATTCCCATGCCAGCACAGATTACGCATCGTGCCATAAAATGCAACCCAAAACACCAGCCCATGCAAATTTATCAACTCCCTTCCATCAAGCGTGATTCTCATAACGGCTTCGAACGACTGGCCACTTTGAACGAGATCTCAAGTCACCTTTTCAAGTGAGAATAGTCCCGCAGAATGCCAGCCATATGCGTGTTGGTAGTCTTGCCGCTTCTCCGTGGCTTCTTTACCTTCTTCTGCTCAACCTTCGGCCGTTGCTTCACGGCCTTATGTTTGCTTGTAGGCGTAATCCCAGCCTTCTCAAGCTCATCGGCAACAGTTTGCTGATCCGGAATCTTGACCTTTTCCCAAATCTGCCGAAACTCGGTGTCGAATGGGTGGACCAGAGACGGGTCATTTGCCCAAACCATCCTTGGATGGTCGTCCTTCTTATTCCTAGTAACCAGCAGCTTCCCTTCCTTCTCCAGTTTGTTTATCGATTCGACAATATTGGGCCAACCCTCGCGCAGCTCTCGCACACTCATTCCTTGGGCGGTAGGTTGCGACTGGAGCTTTTGAAGAAGTTGTTCTGCCGATCGAATGTTATGCGGAGGCCGAAAACGAAAGGTCCCTTCACTCCCAGCACCCTGCGGATCATATTCAACTTTGTCATGCGACTGTAAAATCCGTCTCAAGGCATGAATATAAGCCTGATCATGTCCTTGGCGGTGTAAAGACAAGTAGGATTGAATATCTGAGAACTTCAGCGGAACATCTTTGTTCTTCATGTGCTCGATGGCGAATATGACTTGTGTCATGATGTCTTTCCCCGTACCCGTGTTTGCGGGTTGGGAGTACACGATGTCGCCATCTTGACGTTTGCCGTTTGTCGCCGCCGGTGCTGCGTTAGATGAAGCAAAAGCTTGAGCGGGAGGGACTGCCGCTGAGGCGGCATTGCCAACTGCCCGTCGTTCTTGCGGAAGGCGACTTGCCGCGGAAATGACGTTACTGTTAAAGGAGTTGATTTGATTCTGAAAATAGGACATCGCGGCTGAAGGCTAAAGATCTGAGCTGCTGGTCTGTTTCGGACCCGACACGCCAGTACGTCGAGTAGTCTCTAGCAGTCTATGTTCCTCGTGGCCAAGCAGAGTCTATAACAAGCAAAACCAGTAGATAAGTATGGTGCTAAGTCAACTTGAAATGTTTGAAGAATAACGATGAAGCGAAGCAACATGCCATCGCAGATAACTCCGGTCGGATGACTAATTACCACGTGACGCTGTTAGGGAGTAAAGCGCGCTAATCTATGTTCGGTTAGCTTTGTTTGTGAAGCTGGACGAACTCTTTGCTTGAGCTTCACGAAGACCGAGATTCTCCTCGATACGGAGCCCTGTCCTTGGCCGAGGACTGTTTAATCGGGTCTACATTTTATATATTTTGCCTTACTTATTGATGGCTTTGGGCAGCGCTGCTTGAATTTTAAAATTGTGATTCGGCCCTAGCTAGAGAGCGGTTCTGTCGGTGGCAGGCGCCTGAAATGGTCAGATCCCAGCATCAATACCTCTCCCATTGTCGGTCTTCTTAGATCTCGCGTCCAAGCAGCCATGGCCACCGCGGCTGTTGATGTTCCTTTTCTTTCCTCCCACTATTCCATTCCCGAAACCACCCTCACAACACTCACCCAGAACCCGACCGTCGACTTAGTCAACGAGCTTCTGGGGAGCATTGCGGCGAAGGCTCGAGAAACAGAAGAGCTCAAGTCCGACAAATTACGGCTGGAAGTAGAACTTGAGAATACGGTTCGTGGAAGCGAGGCAAAAGTCAAGGTCCTAAAATCATCCGTTGAAAAGGGTCACAAAGAGGTCTTGAATCTTCGGAACAAGCTGCAAGAGACAGGCAAGATTCTGAAATTGAAATATTCGCGAAACAATGGGTGCTGATTGGCGAAACAGAAAATGCTCGTTCCGAACTAGAGTCCCGACTAGAAACACTCAAGTCTTCTACTTCTAATAGTGAGGCTGAGTTTAACACTTTCAAATCGCGGATTGCGTCACTTGAAGCATCCAATCGAGATACCTTAGGTCTTTTGGAATCTAAATCCACTGCCTACGACAAACTTGCCGATGAGCTCTCTACGCAGCATCGCAAAACAGTTGCTTTGAGGCGAGAAGTCGCTGACCTTGAACAACAGCTACAGGCAGCAAACTCCGCATCAGCAAGCACACGATTCCGTGAGCAAAGCCTACAGCAGGAGTTAGATTTGTTGAAGAAGAATAATGAATGGTTTGAGAATGAACTTCAGACTAAATCTGCGGAATACCTTAAGTTTAGAAAGGAAAAAGCTGCACGTGTTTCGGAGTTACAACGCCAGAATGAGGAAGCCAACTCGAACATTGATACTTTACGACGAAATGAGACCTCACTCAAACAACGGTTAGACGAAGTCGAGCAAAAATACGAAGAATCCCTCACAGCTGTTCAACAACTGAAGGAAGAGGCAATAAAACAAACCGAGTCTTTTCGTATCGAACTTGATAGTGCTAGCCGATTAGCCGAACTGCAACAAAATGCTGCTGAAACTGCCAAAAAACGTGTTCACGAGTGCCAGCTCGCCATGGAGAAATCGAAGGACGACGCTGCACAAGAAATATCGCGTTTGCGTGCCGAAATCGAGACGGAGCATTCCGATAGGGAAGCGGCCGAACGCCGCATTGCAGAATTAGAACTTGCCGTGAAGCAACTGGAATCGGAGGTTGTGTCTGGCAGAAATCAACCGTCGACCCCGATTCATGGCCTCAATGGTGGCATCAGCACTCCCATTCGACCAAGCACCCCCATCGGTTCTTTCTCGCCAAGGTCTGTACGCACCAAAGGCGGCCTAACTCTCACGCAAATGTATTCGGAGTACGATAAAATGCGAACACTCCTCGCAGCCGAACAAAAGAATAACCAAGAACTCAAGACCGCTATGGACGAAATGGTACAAGATTTGGAGTCGAGTAAGCCAGAAATAGACGAGCTTCGCGCGGACCATTCGCGCCTGGAAGCTTCAATTATTGAAATGTCAAATCTTCTGGATGCAGCGAGCAAAGAAAGAGAAGAGGCCACAAGGGAGGCACGAAAATGGCAAGGAAATGTGGAAGGACTGGAGCGCGAAGGAAAAATCTTACGGCAGCAGCTTCGTGACTTGAGCGCACAGGTAAAAGTGCTCGTGATGGAGACTCACCTACTTGGCTCTGGCGACAAGGATTATAACCGTGATGAGCTTGAAAAAATCGCCCGCGAGGGAATCGACGAGTCCGCAGAGGATATGAACAACACTGGTCGTTTTATTACTCGCCACATGACTACATTCAAGAACCTAGATGAGCTTCAAACGCAGAACGTGACACTCAGACGGATGCTACGAGAACTTGGTGATAAACTGGAAGGCGAAGAAGCTCGAAAGAGGGATTTGTCTTACCAAAAAGACCAGGATGAGCTTAAAGAGCTGCGTTCTCGCGTTCAGACATACCGAGATGAAATGGCCAGTCTCGTGGCCCAAACCAAGAGCTATATCAAGGAGCGAGACACCTTCCGTAATATGCTTATGCGGCGTCGTGAAACCGGCGATGCGACGAATCCATTCTCACAGTCTCTACCATTGGGTGCAGTTCCTCCTGCTCTGGACAATACCAGCGCTCAACCAAGCGAAGGACCAGACTATGCCGAACTTCTTCGAAAATTACAGGCCCATTTCGATTCTTTCCGCCAAGAAACTGCGACGGATCATTCCTCTTTGAAACAACAGGTCAATGATTTAACGAGGAAGAACAGCGAATTACAAAGCGAAATCAGTCGCTCTAGTAGCCAGCTCACCACCTCCATTCAGCGTGCGGAGCTTCTGCAGTCTAATTTCAATATGCTCAAGAACGAGAATTCTGAACTTCAAAAGCGGCATTCAGTTCTCATGGAGAATGCAAACAAACAGGACCTCCGGACACAGCAGGTGGCGGAGGACCTTGTGGAAGCCAGGGGCCTGGTGGATAGCCTTCGAAGGGAAACAGCAAATCTCAAAGCAGAAAAGGACCTCTGGAAGAGCATTGAAAAGCGACTTGTTGAGGATAACGAAACTTTGAGAAATGAACGGAGTCGCTTGGATACACTGAATGCCAACTTACAGTCCATGCTCAACGAGCGCGAACACGCAGATTCCGAAACCCGACGTCGACTCCAATCAACAGTAGAGTCTCTAGAATCTGAATTACAGTCAACGAAGCGAAAGCTCAGCGACGAGTCCGAAGAAGCAAAGAAATTGGCCCTTCGAAGAGAATTCGACCAGGAACAGAGCCAGAAACGGATTGACGATCTGGTTACAAGCCTTAGCTCCACTCGTGAGGAGCTTGTTGCTACCAAGACAAGTAGGGATCATCTACAATCTAGGGTTGATGAGCTCTCTGTCGAGCTCAAGAGTGCAGAAGAACGCCTGGTAGTGCTTCAACGAAAGCCTTCCGCGGCTTCTGCTCCTGAAAATGTCGCCCAAGAGGCCACTGAGACTGGTGAACGTGGCGACTTAACCAGAGAACAAGAGTTGGCGGTAGAAGTGTCAGAACTGAAACGTGACCTCGAATTGGCGAGAAGTGAGCTGAAGCACGCCAATGAGCAAGCGGAGGACTATAAGGCCATTAGTCAATCAACGGAAGAAAGTCTTCAATCCCTCACAGAGACGCATGAACAATACCGTGAAGATACCGATCGTCTCCTAGATGAGAAGGATTCTAGAATCACCGAGCTAGAAAAGCGAATTGAAGAACTGTCCGCCGAGCTTGCTAGTACAAACAATGAACTTTCGAAACTGCGCGACCAAGAAGCACAATTCCAGCGCCGTCTTGATGAACAGAAATCGACCTCGGATGCTGAAATTGCCAGACTCAAGGAGCAACAAGAACGCTATGAAGCAGCCGCCCAGTTCCACCAACAAGACCTCAAAGCCCAAGCTGAGATTGCTCAAAACGCCCAACAAAATTATGAAAATGAGCTTGTTAAGCATGCCGACGCCGCTAGAAATCTTCAACTCGTTAGAGCCGAAGCCAATGAGCTGAAGCTTGAGGTTGTGGACTTGAAAACGCAGGCTGAATCAGCGAAAAATAATTTGACACGTGAGGAAGAAAACTGGAATGAAATGAAAGGCAGATATGAAAAAGAAATCGAGGATCTCAGTCGTCGGCGCGAAGAAGTCCTTAACCAGAACGCAATACTCCATGGACAATTGGAGAATATCACAAAACAAATCTCTAATCTTCAGCGCGATAGAGCGGGTATCACTGAGGGCACTGAAACAGAGCCTGCTTCCGGATCGGACCTTGAGAGCCTTCAAGAAGTAATCAAATTCTTGCGCCGGGAAAAAGAGATCGTTGATGTCCAGTATCACTTGGCAACCCAGGAAAGCAAGCGCCTACGACAGCGACTCGATTATACACAGACACAACTCGAGGATACTCGTCTTAAACTTGAGCAACAACGTCGTTCAGAAGCAGAAAACGAACAGCATGCGCTTAGTCATAATAAATTAATGGAAACGCTCAATGAACTCAACCTGTTCCGTGAAAGCAGTGTTACGCTACGAAACCAGATTAAGCAGCTAGAGATTTCTGTCGAAGAGAAGTCGAAACGTGCTGATGAGCTTCAGGAACAAATCGAACCACTTCAAACTCGCATTCGTGAATTAGAAAACAATATGGAAACCAAAGATGGTGAGATGAAGCTCCTTCAAGAGGATCGGGATCGCTGGCAGCAACGAACGCAAAACATTCTTCAGAAATATGACCGGGTAGATCCCGCGGAGTTAGAAGCCATGAAAGAAAATCTCTCTTCTCTTGAGAAAGAACGGGACGAAGCCGTTTCGGCTAAGGAGGCCCTTGAATCCCAAGTGTCGACTTTCCCGGAGCAGTTGAAGCAAGCAGAAGATCGCATCCAGGAGTTGCGTACGAGATTAACGGAACAATTCAAGGCCAGATCAAAGGAGCTGACTGGGCGTATAAATGCCAAGCAAGGGGAGTTGAATGCTGTTGTTCTGGAGAAAGAGCAGATTCAGCAAGAACTAGATCGTACTCGAGAAGAGTTGGACTCGTTAAAATCCAAAGCTCCAGAGCCCGCTGCTCCTGCTGTTAACACAGATACGGCAGAACCTCAGCCGACCAACGGCCCAGCACCGGAATTAAACAAAGACGATGATAACAATAACGACCAGGAAAGAATTCGGGAATTGGAGGAAAAGATTAAAGAGTTGGAGGCGGCGTTGGCTGCAAAGGAGGCCGAAATGGAGCAGAAGGTTAAGGAGAGGGTTGATAGGATGAAGGAAATTCTGACAAACAAGTTGGCAGAACACAAGGCAGCTCATCAGAAAGAGATAGAAAACCTGAAAGCCGCTCATCAACAAGAACTAGGTTCTAAAGCAGAAGGGACCCCAGTGCTCACGGACGCCGCAGCCCGTGACCTTGTTGCGAAAAACGAAACTATTAGGAATATCATCAAGAGCAATATCAGGAACGCTGTCAACAAAGAAAAGGAAGCGATGGCACAAAGAGAAAGTCAGCCCCAGCAGGATACGGAGGCACTGAAGGAACTGGAGAAGAAATTCGTGGATGAAAAGGAAACGCTATTGAAAGAACGGGACCAAAAGATCAGTTCTGCTGTTGAATTAGCGGAGAAGAGATTACTCGCAAAGGTCAGCATGACTGAAGGACGTGCGAGAGGCGCCCAAGCCAAACTTGAAGTTGTTCAAAAGGCCGCTGCAGATACTCCTCAGCGGCCCGTAATCGAAGTCTGGGAAATTGCGAAGGTCACAAAGCCGGCGATGCAACAGCAAGCAGCACCAAAACCACCACCACCGGCATCACCCGCGCCTACTCCGTTGTCGGCTCCGGCTCAGTCTCCGCGAGCACCGGCGACCCCTGTCCCACAGAAAGTAGCACCAAGTGCTTCGCCGATGCCAACTCCACAACAGCCTGTGGAACCAGTACCTCCTGTAACGCGTCCCACACTAGACAACCAGCAACAGGGGCAGTCGCAACAGCCGCAACCACAACCACAGCCACAGCCACAGCAACAGCCACCACCGCAGCAGCAGCAGCAGCAAGCAATGACTGGTAACCAAGCAGCTCCCACCCAACAACCTGCGGGATTACCCAACCGCCCGCCTCAATCCGCCCAGCCCGCTGCTGGTGCTGGAGTGCTCCGCGCGCTCCAATCCGGCCTTCCGGTTGCTCGGGGTGGTCGTGGCCGTGGGATGCAAAGCGGCCCACAGCATGGCCAATTTGGCTCTCTCCCCCCCGATCAGCAGTTCCAGCAACAACATGCTGGCCGTGGTTCTACCGTGTCCCGTGGTAGAGGAATGAGAGGTGGTGGCCAAGGCCGCGGCGGCTCTCAACACGTTCAAACCGGGAATCTCCCCCAGGGTGTGGGGCAAGCAAGTCCTCGCGGTGGAAGAGGCGCGCTCAATGCCCAAGCTCGCCAATTTATCCCTCATGGAAAACGTGCTCGGGATGAAGGAGGTGATGCCGATACAAATGCGGGGAAGAGATTACGAGGCGGAGGCGCTGGGCAATAAGATGTTATTCCCTGAGAGCTTTTTATAGGCGGACGTTACATAACTCCTCTTGGACAACTTCTTTTGTTTTTCATATCTTTTCCTTTGTTCAATATAGCGAGCAGACTCTTTTACTTTGACATATGTTCTACTAGTGTTGTTCGTTTCTATTGCAGGACTGGCATTTGGTCAAAGGTATTTTTGCTTCCCCCAAGCATTTCTTGTCAAATACAGATTTGGGAGCTGTATAATGGAATCAGGCGTTTTTCTGGCACTGCTTACCTGAAGCCAATACAAAAGAACTTGCTTCGTTCTCATCCCTACCAAACCTTGGTTCCCATACATTCCGACTCACAAGGGGATAGAGTTTCGCCCGATGAACCTCTTTTGGCCCCCGACAACGCCTCAGCTTCAACCGCAATATCTCGATGACTCGAACAAGAATTCCTCAACCCTCTCGCCACAGCAGGCATCCCAATCTGTGGCCTGTGGGTAACACATGATTTCACCATGGTCGGTCAGAAGGCCTGTCGAGAAACGGTCTCGCAAACTTTAACCAAGGGCAAAATAGACCGATTCGTCATTTATGGGCATCCAGGCTGAAGTTGATAAGTAATACAGTACGACGTGGAGAAAACAGGCCATCGCTGGCTTAGATTCCGGATATATTGCGATCGCTCCTCCATTTTCAACTACAAGCACGATACCATACCTTCTAAATTCCCTGTGGATACGAGATCAGTGCCTTTGAGAACCAATTATCAGATTTGAGCAGCTATGGAATTTCCCAGAAGCCAAGCTGAGCCTTCGGGCCCCGTCATCACATATCGCGAAGCTCGAGAAGATGAAAAAGATGCCATCGACGCCCTCGATGACTCATATACGACCACGTCAATCTACAAGGTCGACATCAGTCCTGATGGTTTTGGATTTAGTATTCGTCGCGAAACCATTGAGACTCCCATCACCCGGAATTATTCGGACGAGGAGAGCGACAGCGATAGTGACAGCGACAGCAACTATAGTCCCCGCAAGAAGGAGTCAGAATCCAGCCCGTCCAATGCATACACCATCGTCGCTACAATCAACGAGGATCAAATCTGCGGCGTGATCGATTTGATATATCGAGCGTGGAATCGTCGACTGGTCATCACGGATATCATTGTGGCGCCAGAACGCCGCGGCAATGGTATCGGGAAGAAGTTGATGAGCATGGCTCTGGACTGGGGGCGTGAAGTGCACGGCGCCAAACATGCGTGGTTGGAAGTGTCGAATCTGAATTCTCCAGCAATCGAGTCGTATCAGGGGATGGGTTTCACGTTTTGCGGGCTTGATTTGACACTGTACGCCAGGATGGTCCTCGAAGAACGAGATTGCGCTGTATATGAGCCGGCGA